TTGCCTCCACAAACTGTTTGTACCCCTCACGTCGAGCTCAGTGCTCCATCTTCTCAAAGTAAATGTCACAAATATGCCCATAAATCTTTGCCTCTTTTGTTGCCAGAGCTTGTTTGCAATGATTGAGAAGTACAAAGTTGTCTTTGTTTCAGCTGCTGTTTGCCCTTTTTTTTTTCATGACTTGGCTGTTCACATTAGTTAGACCGCTGATGACTTCAAAATGTACAATAATCCACCACTCTCCCTGTAAATTAAATTGATGTGTTCAAACTTGTATTTACACTTCACTTTGATAACCATCATTGAGTTTTCTATTTACCAAGTAGCCTTCAAATTACCCTAATTATGTGCAGTGCTTATGTAACACAGATTTTTGGCCAAGACATCCCTCTGGAAAGAGGTAAATGGAACCATTAAACATTTTGTTTAAATAAAAAGAATGAGTCCATTTTCTTCACTGGGAAAAATAAGCATTTGTTGATTAGTTGTGAATGTATGGGTCCAAGTTAATTTCTTTAAAACAGCGCTGCTTGCTCCAGGTTGTATAGAAACGCAACAGGCAAGTGACAAATCTCGGATCGATGTGGCCCAAACCTGAAATTTCTTGCCAAATTCTTCTGTTCAGTTGTTTAGACTTTTTCAGTTCTCTGCCATGTGGCTCCATCCAACTCCCGGCCCACATCTTTTATATCAGTCTATTTTGTGCTCCGGCTGCTTTATGCCATCAACCCCAGCCATTAGATGTGGATACAGATTTGGTCATCTCAAACACATCTAAATGAAAAACAGGTTTTGCCAAGGTAGAACTGTGAGTGCTAAGAAGCCACTAAAAAGAACCTTTCCTGGGACATTTTTTAAAACTATTTTGGCACACTTTGTCCATCTGAAATTCATTATTGTGTTCTGACAAAAATACTTCTTCTCATGTGGATATTTGCAGTGACAGAAATTAGTGATAGCACCATTGGGACCAAGCTAGTCGTAAATGAATGAGCAGCGGTCTATTCATTACAGTAAGGGGCTCCACATAAACAGTGTTAGTGGGCTGAGGATGGTGCAGATATAAACAGTCTCTGCAGATCTGGGTCAGGGCATTGAAAAGCATGTGAATGTTTAGGAACAGGTTTATCAGATAAATCTTTGTGGAGCGCTATAAAAAAAAACACTCCTGTTTAATAATGGTGCTATGCCAGTTCAGCTTTTTCAGTCCTGACACGACAATGTGAGTATTTTCTGATATCTGCAGATACCTGATACAAACAAAGATCAACAGCACATAGTAAAGTAAACACCAAATTTATTGTCCTAAAATATTAATATTACATGGAACGTACCCCATCTAAACTCAAAAGAATGGGGATCATGGTGAATTACAGTTGCTGGAAATGTCACTTGGCTCCTGATACTTTTGCATGCTATTTGGGAATGCAGAGAAGTTTATCTTTTTTGGGAGAGTATACTAGAGCATATAGAAAAGGTGGATTGGCAAGATAATACCTAGGTCGCCAAGAGTATATTTACTCAGGGATAGATCAATAAAGCCAAGTGTATGAAAATGTGAATATATGATTTTAAAAGTGGGGGTGATAACTGCAGGGGGTGATAACAACACATTTTATTTATTTATTTATTTATTTATTTTGGATGATCCAATGCCTTGCCTTTTTGACTCTAACCTTATTTCCATTAGTTTACTTTGGAGTGGATCAGTGCGGTTTGCAAGTGTCTCCACTATCTAAAGTAAACTGTACTGCCCCATTTGAGGAGTCTAAAATAGACCCAAGAGGGTACTAGCTCCCAGTGGGTTCAGTGGTACTGTGTGGCTCCAGGCGTTGTTAAAATAACTAAACAGACAAATTTTTTATAATAGCAGTCAACCAGAAGTAGTTTAGTGTCTAGCTTTAGCCACGTATCACAGTGCCACAAACTTGGAGTAACTACATCCTTTACTGAATTGCTGAAATCGGTCTTCAATTTAGATTTGATTTATTAAGAAAACAACTGTAATGTTTGAGTGACATCATATGTGTCTTATGTAGCAGAGTTCTGCCCCTGGACCCGGAGCATGGAAATGCAGCTCAGTTGGAGGGAGCTGCATCAAACAGATCTGCTTCCAAGCAAACCGTGCCAGTGGAAAAGAGGCTTTTTAGCTTGTTTTGACTTTCTGGGACACATAGTTGACTTCAACATTCAGATGGTTTAAGAAAACCTAAAATGTTGTATATTAAACCCATTGAAAGCCTTTGTATATACCAGAGGATACAGTCCATTCAGATCATACGCTTAATGCCGTGCTGTTACTTCCAAACCGCCTCATCTCCCTCTCCTTGGATGAGCCCATCTCACGGTGTCTAACATTTCAACAATTAATATTTTTCTGTTGCAATACAGTGATAATGATACTGCACACAGCTAGTGCCAAGCTATACTTTTGCAACACATTTGGAAGTGTTGTGTTTTCTTGGCTATCTGCGTGATATGTAATTTCCTCACATGCGGTGGAGCTTAGCTCTAATTGCTCTCAGTCCATATGAAATGAATGATAAATAGGCTTATGGACAGTGCCAGTGGCTTTATGTCCATGTTAGAGGCCCATTTTGCTATCAGACATAAAGATAGCCTTTGATCAAGTGTTTGGACAGAGATTTGTCGATGCATAAGAGAAGATTGTTTCTCTTTGAATATAATTATCAAGCATATGTTTGGACCATGAAAAAGATGTCTTGTACTAAACAAAGTCATTCGCCTTATGTAACAGACAGCAAACTGACAGCCTGATTTTACTTCTTAGTTTAACTCTTTATAGAATGTGTACATGATTGTGACATAGGCATTTTCCTTTTTAATGGGAAGAAGATGAACAAAGTCAGATCCCATCATGGAGTTTCTGTCAAAAAGGTTTTAGCATAACATCAGCTGACTATGTGCAGGGAGAGTTCAGTACATTAAAATATATTTGTAGAAATGATCCTTTAATCCTTTATTTTATATCCCTTTATTTAATAAATTTCAGACACTCTGACCACAGCACTCAAGCTCTTTTCTATGTAAAAAGTCATACCAGGTTGTTTATTTTCTTATGCCAAACCATGTAGTATAATCTGTCCAAGATACGCAAGCTGTGGGCAACCAGTTACACATCAGGCAACCAGTACTAAAAAAGAGTCTGTCTTACTCTGAAACTCTGGAAAGACTGATCAGAACATAGTCCAGTGGGTCAGTAGCAGACAACACCTTCATAAAATTTTATAAAAAAAATGACCAAAGCTTCTATATAATATGTATATGCAATAGTCATTGTTGTCTGGTTAGATTGGTCATATTGTGGTATAAGTGTTCATTCAGTTTTTTCAGCAGCTGCATTGTCTTCACCACCATCAACATTGTAATTAAAACTGCATGTCTATTCTTCAATACCTCAAACATTTCCCATATGTCTGTCTAAATGTGCTCCATGTAAACTTGGCAGAGGTCTCCCAAATTGCTCCCGGGTCACGTTGAACAAGGCGGGGAATCCTTCCTCTGTGCATCAGCCTAGCCTTGAAGTTCCTAATGATGACATCAAACGCACAGAGCGTTCCTCCCCTTGATCTGCAGGCAGAGAGGGCACCGGTGAGCTCATGCTGCGAGGAAGTCACTTACAAACCACGAAGCGCCATACAGACCTGTAGAGCAACATCTGGCTGCAGTGCAGGAAGTGAGGCAGGATGCTGAAGGGCCAGGTGTCATAGCAAGACACGGAAACACCCAATAGCGACTGGACAATGTAGCTACGTTAGCCATCTCCCGTCCCGCTTGACCTTTCAGAGTGATGTTGACTGACAGGAGCACGGCTAACTTCCCTTTTCCTTATTCAAGATCCGCCCTTGTGTTGGTCCATCTGTGCCGGCAGCTGTCAGGTGGAGGTGCAAGCCTGTTGGGTTTTGTAAAGATGACGTGAGCGACCATTATTGAACATTTGTCTCCCCTTCTCATTTGGCGTTCTATTCCTACAGACAGTAGTGTAGGAATGTGGTTTACTGAATAAAAGAGACAAGCATAGACTTGCAGTAGTGCAGCCTGGACCTGTGCATTATTGTGTTATGTGTTTATTTGACTGCCTTCTATTTTGTGCGGGGCAGAATCAGTTTGTAAATACTTAGTGTATGTTGCTTCAAAGCTTTTGTAATGCCTGGTAAAGTATGGTTTATATCCATTCAGGGTTTGATTAGGCTCTCATTTACCTTACAGGCCACAGGTGTGCTTTGTGAAGCCCATTCCTCTCATGTGCCTGGCGTGCTTTGTCTTTGTCTTGCTCTGCTTGCTGTCTGTCGGTCCAGATCAGTGGGCTCCAGATGTTTTGCGTGGGGCAATACTCCTCTCCTCTAAATCCTTCCTCATCTCATCAGCTCTCCGTGCTACAAACCTGCCCGGGTCACTCACATGAGCACTGGATCCAGGTGGGTCAGCCGCAGTAATTGACCCAAATCAAATGCCCACCAGGTGCCCTCCTGTAGTCCTCCCTATGCTTTGTTCTTTGAGCCCAATATTAATACTTCCTCCAGACGTTTGCAACACTTCGCTCCCTGCTTTGACCACAAGCACACAGCACAGCCATTTCCTGGGGCAGCAAAGCAGATATAATGAGTGATAGAAAGGTGTTGAATGTGTTTAATTAGAGAGAGGGCTCACTCACACTTGCATAAATAGATTTTAAGTATAAACTAAAATATTTCAAATACCAGAACACTTGGTCCATTCAGGTTATAGTAGGACAAAACCTCAGTGCAGCTCATATAATTGGATTTATAAAAGCATAATAATTTTGTGCCACAATGAATTAAGGAATGCCATGACCTAAGCAAGCGTGGCTGAATTTTTCTGTTACACATAATGACCATGCAAAATTGATTTCACACTAATGCACCAGCACTAATGATGGCTGCACCTTAACTATATGTATATGGTTGAACTTTCTCTGAGATCATTTCTGTATCTCCCCTTGTTGATTTCACTGGCAGGACCCAGGTGAGAAGAGGACCCCCTGACTCATCCCCACAGCAGACTGGGACCTCCCGCACTGTGAAGCGCTACCCATCATCCAATGGGCCCATTACCTCCAACGCCCTCCCCAACACATACCCCTACTCCAACAACTGGAATGGTCATAATCGAGTGTATAGGCCTCCTGCCAATAGCCCTACGCATGGACAGCACAACAATGCAGTATTGCCAACAGGTAAGCATTTAAATAGTAGATATAATGTGCAGATGATGATTAGCTTCTCTTGGATTCCTCCCTCACTTTACACGCATACTTAACATTTCCACTCTCCTTAACCACGTCCAAACAAACACAGCCTGATCTGGCTCAATATTCAGGGGCTCAGATACATACATACACATCCTGTGTTGTCATCACTGTGGAACATTAGCCATGAAGAAGAAAAAGCTGGCAGTGTCCCAGTTTGCACTTCCTCCTGCACTGTCCCTCCTCCTCTCTGCTCTCCGCCTGCATCACACGCCTGTGTCTGATATGGAGCTGTGTGTTCCACATGTGTGGCTCCATAAACAGCCTAAAGAGTGTAAATTTGCCTTCAAGAATCTGCACCACCACCCTATGACTGAAAGATGTTGCTTAAACCACAACAAAACATAAAATAGGATCATGTCTTGCCTCTTTTTACTTCGGTTTTGCCTGCTTCTTGTTCCTCTGATGTGCTGTCCAACGCACACAGCTGTGTGCTTCCAGTTTCTCTTATGTTTGAGCTCTTTACCAGGGCAACGGCTGTTGAACAGCTTCCCACCATTACACAATGTTCATTTACACTCACTTCTTTTTGTCTGTGGAACGCACACACAACCAGAACACCTTCTGCCCCAGATAAAGTGCCTGGAGTCAAGCCGGATACCTATCAGTATCCTCTGACTGCACTGGCCTGTGGCACAGGGCTTGTTCCAGTGCGAGCATGCCACTGGCCGGTCGTCAGCACACACCCTCGCACTCTTATAAACCTCCCTGCGCCTCCACCAGGAGTTTGTCACTGCTTGCACTGCAGGAGGAAGGATGCAGGTCTTTTCAGGCTCATCTCTACTGCTGCTGCAGCTGCTTTTTACCCAGGTGTGTGTCTGTTTCCCAGGGGCCAATCTCACCTCCAGTCTGGACCGCATTAAGATCATCTTCACCCCCATGCTCTGCCGGCGAGTCTGTAGCAGTGGACGCTGCTACAACAGCTGTGAGAAGGGAGACACCACCACTGTTTACAGTGAGAATCCGCAACCACAACAGCCGCAGCAAACCAAGAACCAGGGCTTCAGACTCTGTAAGTGCCACACACAGGCCTGTGTCTAGTCTATGTCATCTCCTCTCTTCATCTATCTCTCCACTGTCACAGTGTGACATATTCTCACACACTTTCACCTTCCGTCCCTTCCTGCATTCTCATATCTTTTTAATGGAGTGAGTTCTGACAAAATTAGTTCCCAGCAGCAGTGTGCTGTCCACAGTGAATACAGAGCAGTCCAGATTGTTGTTTAGCAGCTGTAAAAAGTTGTAAGTCAAAAGGAAAGAGAGACGAGGGGAAAAGAGGGCAGTGTTGGAGCGGCTTAAAGAAGTGCCCTGTAAAACGGGGCTAATCTCTCACACACACACACGTGGAGCTGGTGGTCCCACGCTCCCCACATTAGCACAGCTCTTTGTGGCTGCCTGAACTATGGAACGAGCTGCTGGGAGAGCGGCCGCCAGTGAACACACAGGCAGAGGCACAACAAGAGAAAGAGTAGCAGCATGAGCAGGATTTCACAGGGATTACATTAAACCTGCCATTTATCCAGGGGGCTTTGCCATGAATTCACACAGGAGTGTCCATGGGGAGGGCAGGGGCAGCCTGAGGGGCAGCCTGAGGACCCCTGCCTGTTTCCCACTTTCTCATCAGTCTGAAGGCTTTGGGTCAGGCTAATTACTGCTGAGGTGAAGGCTCTATGCCATACACTAAAAAGCAGAGCCTAAACACGCCAGACTGTTTGTTAAGCTTTACATTATGTAAACCTGTTGATTTACATGCCTGTCAATCCACTTTGAGTGTGCAGGTCTGATTTACTTCAAGTGCACACCCTCCACATAATTACACTCCTAACACTTCTATTCACTGCTTGTTTATGTCTTATTTGATTCCCTCTAAATCTCCTTTCATTATGTGGTAGCATTAAAACACAATATCTTTCTTTCCATTTGCATTGTGTTATTGCTCGGGGTGCTGCGTGCTCTGCGTGGAATGTCAAGTGGACAGAGTAACAAACAGTTATCTCATGCCGTTGTAATGTTCCCGTACACAGCGCAGTAAAATCTGGCTCGGGTAATTATAACAAGCTCCCTGGATAACGCCCCCAGTGAGTAACCTAAAAGCCTGACGTTGGGAATCAGAGGAGGTTCTTTATGGAGTGAGAAGTGTGCTTGTTTAACAGATAGACAGAGAGGCAGACAGTGCGCTGTGCTGAGGAGAGCTAAAAATAGTTTCCATCCCGTGCTGCGGTGGGACGGGCCTGGCCAACCGGCGAAGATCTGCGACCCACATTGAGGGGAATTCAGTTAATAGCTGATAATAACGCCGGCATGTCTAATCAAGAGCAACTCTGAAACTGTCTGCTTCTAACCACATCCCATTTTGGTCATTTATCTTCTTTGTTTGCAGTCTGTTCTCAGGCCATTCCATATCAATTTCTTGGGGGATTGTACCTTTCTCATCCTGATGTAGCCTCTGTTGTGTTAATGCTTCATGACAGGCAGCTCATTCCCCACATGCCAAACCAAGTCTAGCATCCCTGTTTCTCTGTTAGCACTTTGTTACTGTGTCAAGTGCATTTCTCTTCACAAAGTGCATGTCCATGCAAAGAGAAGAGAAGTCTACTTAAGTTTTATTTAATATCACGGAATTCTGGTCACGGTTGTCTGGCTATCTTTACGTGAGGAGTCTTTGATGTTTCAAGAGTGGGCATATTTAGATGAGAGCAGGTCCAGGTGTGTGGGGTGCGAGGCTGGCACCTAAAAGATAAAACCAATGAAATGCAATGAACCATCTGGACAATGCTAGCCTTTACCCCTTTTTCCCCTTGCCTTCTCCATGGTAAATTACAAACTATAAATCATTCTGACTGAGCTTGTTTAAGACTTCAAAACTCTCTTCTTTCTCTCTGTGAATTTTATCCCGCCACAGATGGCTCTTCACCTGTTACCTGCACAAACGATCGCATGTTGAGTGATCAGTCATCGGGCTGCAGCAGAACGTAATTAGTATGTGGTGTAAAAACAAAAGTCCATAAAAGAGGGAGGTGCTCAGTGTTGCTCCAGTGTTGCTGGGGTGAAAGTCTATAAATGTCATGAAGAACAAGATGTTTACAAAGAATACATTACTTGTTTTGCCCAACTAGTCCACAAAGATTATATATTGATATGAATTCCTTTTAAATCCATATTGACCAACACAGTTTCTGAAAAGCTAAATATAACAATTAGCCCCATTAGTGGTGCATTACATACGTTGCGACCAAATAGCTATGATTGGTTACATTTTTAAAAAGTACCCTCCTACCGACGAGAGAACGAATTCTAATGCTGAGAGGTCGGACGGTTTCCATGAAGTGAAACTGGCTGATGAATCAGGCTAATAGTTAATACCCCATAGAAGTAAAACACTCCCTATTTAAGTATTAATTTATTTATTTTTATAGTATTAAGGACACAAGTATGATCCATAGCTAAAGTTACTAAGCCCAAATCATTCTTAGTAAACTGTTTATTATGAAGTCTTACAGTTACACTCTAACCCTCTTCTTTGTTTTTCTTTGCAGTCTTCTGTCAGATCCCGTGTCAAAACGGTGGCCGCTGTATTGGCAGAGATCACTGCTGGTGTCCGTCAAATTCAACAGGAAAGTTCTGCCACCTCCCTTCACCTCCTCCTCCTCCGCCACCGAGGCCCAGCCCTTCCAGCACAAAGGACACCAGCCAGCATGGGCCCTCACACTCCATGTACACCCTGCCTCTCTCAAACCAACAAGGTAATCATTTATATGTCATGAGCACTTTTCTTTATGTATTTGAGTCAAGTATACTACTTAAATAAATGAGATTTGTCTTCCTCTAATTCTCCTCTAATGGTCTTTTAAAGTCTGCATTAAAAACAGAGCAAATCAACATCATGAAGATACATTTGATCACTAATGTCCTTTTCCCTCCTCATCGATCTTGTTGTCATTTTTATTTCCTTGACATGCAGACTCTTGCTCGCTCTGACACTAAGTAAAAACAGAAGTTCCCTTTTAGATTCAGGAAATATTACTTCATTTATTATTCATAACTAGTTTTGAGCCAAATATCTGTAGACAATTTAAACCTCCTCACAAGATAACCTACACCATCTTTCCTCATTTATGCTTGTGGTGAACTGTTCTATAAGGTTTACTTGTTGCATTCACCCCTCTGTCTGTATTGAGATTATGATTCATGAATTGGGTCACACTTCTTGGAAAAGGCCCCTGGCACTCCCTGAAGATCGATGCTTTCCCTCTGTTAGACAGACAAAAGCCCTCATTCTCTGCATTACAACATCTTCGTAGCTGCTCCACAAATGTGTTTTTGGTCTACAATATTATCCAATTTAACGCAGAGTACCCACCACTTGTTGTTGTTTTAGTGTCATCAGAATGTCTTCACTGCTGGGAAGTTCCCTAAAATGAATCACAAATGGGTTGTTTTTGTGTTAAATTGTATTGCAGAGTTTTTTTTTTTCTCAGATTGCGTTATGTATACAAAAGTTTTATCGTCTTGGCTAGAGATACTCCTTTAAAATACGCAACTATAAACCATCTTCCTCAATCCCTTCTCTCCTCTGTTATGATGTAGGAATTTGGTCGGAAGCAACTACTCTGAAAGAGTAGTTGCAAGTGTAAGTGTAAGACCACACAAACTAATGTACGCCCATAGACCACTATGGCACCAAGACAAATTAGGGGTTACATAGATATAACACCAAATGGGAATATAAAAGAATGTACTATGATTTAATGATGGAAATTACATTCTATTGTATAAACAAGGAGTGTTATTATTGTCATCGTGGTACCAGAGTATCAAGTCTATTCCTTAGTATACAAATCAACATTAAATACATAATTTATACACTTTGCAGATCTGTTCCTCTTGGTTGTCTCCGTGTTAAAAATAATGATTCTCCTGTCTGTTTTCAGCCTCACTCCACCCCTCCATAGTGAATGTCCACATCCAACACCCTCCTGAAGCGGAAGTCCAGGTGCACCAAGTGGCGCGTGTCCAGCCAGGGCAGAGAGCTCCCATTGCAGAAGGGGCTCACTCAGTGCAACAACGCTCTCAACCTGGTAACGGACATGACGCCACCAATGAGCACACAGACAGACCTCAGCACAACAATGACCACACCCCCCACAGGCCACACCCTCACCCCAGCGGAGTCGGGAGATGCTTCCAGGAAACGGTGGACGGACAGGTATGGAATTGCTGTAAGTTGTTTTAACCAGAAGAGAGAAGCAAATGTGTGGTGAAATGTATTAATGTATCTCAGCATTTATAGATACTGGCAAAGATAAAGTTGTTATTCAAGGGTTTAGACAGCCTCTCCATCTCCTTTTTTGGTGACAAGGAGATGGAGAGGCTGACGTGACTGGCGCTACGGCTGTGGTAGATATGGTACAGGGAAGGGTTTATATGAACATGACTTGAGATTGATTGTGAAGCAAAGGTGTCTGTGATTGGCTAACGCCAGTAGACATGGGATAGGAGTTTGAAATGACCCAAAAATACAGTCTTTTTGGTTGGATTTGGGCTAGAGTTTCATTTCATTCATTTGCAATGTCACCATATGCTGATGGGAGCCACATGGAGGAGGGTGAGGGGTTAAGGCTATTGTGGTATATCATATAGGTGTTGAAACAGGAGGGGTGATGTGTGACTGCTTGTACAAGAGACCTACAGTACACAGTTGTGTCACATAGCCCATCTGTGAGTAAGATTTATACTGTAAGGACTTAAAGGGCCACACTGACCAGCTCAGGTTGCACTGCATGTTTTGGGTTGGAATTGAATCGGTCTTAAAACACATTAAACACACACAGTCTAAAGAGCAGTCTCTTTTATTTTATGCATAGTTTATTTTTACAGCAAAATGTTATTCGTTCCCATTTTTATAGTTTATTCCTTTTTCCACCTTACCACCTTCTGGTGACATCCTTACAGATATAAATAAGCATGCTTGCTCTAATAGGCAGCAGTGGGTTTTAAAAGTGAGTTTATAGCCTCATGATTGTGCTGTTGTTGTAGTGCGGCAAGCCCCTGCCAGGCCTTACCAAACAGGATGATTGCTGTGGAAGTGTGGGAGCCTCCTGGGGTCTCAACAAGTGCCAGAAGTGTCCAGCTAAACCAGGTAAGCCCTTCTGACTGAAGCCATGAGAGTGACTCACTGTTTGTTCCACTGTGTTCCATTACACACTTAAATTAAATTAGCTCTAATCTTGGCTGCTGGTTATCCTCATCTGTGCACTACTTGAGGAATGTACATTTTATTGTTGTTGATCGTGAACATTGATATATAAAAGCCGAAAAGATGTATTTTGTCATCCTTGTTATCTTCCTACATTCTTTTTGTCTGCATTCTGCTTTCCCTGTTTTTTGCTTGTATAGTTTCTTTACTTGCTGGAATGTGGCTCTGCTACTCTTAAACAGATAACTAAAGTGTAACTGAAGTATTCTATTGGAGAGCCTAACAGGCATGCCACCCAGTCTGTGGCTCCTCTGAGCCAGCAGCCACAGTGTGGAGGCTGTGAGCAGCTGCTGGTTGTACTGTCACAGGCTTGCTGGGTGGTGACGCTCTTACTGTAGTTGGTGACAGATGTGTGTGGCTGTGTCCTCTCTGCACTGGGCCTTATAAATGTGTGTATACACCTAGAGTGCAGTTCTCCTGGGCTGTAGCCTCCTACAGTCTAACACAGGCTGTAATCAGAAGCAGACGTCACCCCTCTCTCTCTCCTCCATCCATCACAATGCTCCCGTGTCATTTTTTCTCCCCCTCTCTATCTTCTCTGGTATGCCAGATTCCTGCTCTTCCTAACGTTCCAGTATTCTCTCTTGTGGCTCCCAGATGTTTCCCCTGTGTCCTTTGATGTTTGGCAAAGGGAGACTTGATGCACAGTTGTCAATTTTTTGGTTATTTTGGGGACTGCACTTTTAGGCATAGGTCACACATAGAAAAAGAATAAAGCATATCACATAAAGACTAAATATAAGTTAAAATACAGCCACTCACTTCACTAACAGTCTCATAATTCCTGAGAAATGCGTAGAATTCCTGGGAGTGTTTTTGTTCTGAGTTTGGGCGCTGGGCCTGATGTAAGTGCATACCTCCCTCTGGTGCAGACGTAGTGTGATTCCTTATGTGTTTGACAGGGATGATGTGTGACCCCTCACTGCTCTGTCTTCTCATTCATCTCAATGCCAGTGTCCGTGTGTAGCCTTAAGTGGGGAAGAGTCCTGCAGATTTATTAGTCACTGGTGTCTCTGTTGAGTATGTGATAATGAGGTCACAAAAGACGGATTTTTGTCTGGCTGCTTGCTTTCATAGGTCAGCTTGTATCAATTTACAAGCTGACAATCTCTGGCTAACATTGTGCTCTATATTAGGGATGCACGATGCAGCTTTTTCAGTCCTGATACCGATTTCTATACTGTAAGTATTTGCCAGTACCTGATATTATCCGATACAGGAGCAGAGACTGAAAACAGCATTTATTTCCTTAAAAAAATTATTATTTCCTTAAAATAATAATATAATAAGAGAAAACTAATCCAGATGCATTATGTAGCTGTTATTTATCTCCGAAGTAACAACAGAAAAGCTTTGTAGAAATAAAAGTTATGAGACTTTCTTGACCAGCTAGTACCAGTCTTATTACATATTGATATGACCAACCAGGATATCGTCTGAACTAATATTTGGAAGCCAATATCCGTCCGAGCACATGTCTCATAATCAGCGCAATATCTGATACCAATACTGGATCAGTGTATCTCTACTGTATATACATCACTGAGGGTAAGATCCCAGTTTAATCCTACTGTAGACATGATTTCGTCCTATTCTAGTCCTGGTTAAATTCCTAAATTCCCAGTTCAGTAACAATTTTGGTGTGACAGCAAATGTGCCCTGTATCTCGCCTAGGGGTGTGCAAAAATATCAATTTATCGTATTGTTTATTGTGACGATACAGCACTGTATCGAGATATGTATCGCATTGTGGTCTATGTATCAAGGTATGTATCATATCGGCAACTTCTTAATGATACCCAGCCCTAATCTCACCCAAAAAGATGTGTAAGCCCCTGGAGTGAAAAGCGAACATGCAATATGCCCATATCAGATGTTTTCAAACAAACCATTTAATTAAATTGTCATCATGTAGGAATTTTAAGGGAGAAAGGATAATTAATGATCTCATTGTGGGGGCAGATGGATAGATAGCACAGTCAGACAGGATGAGCTTTAAGCATCAACAAGCATATTTTTTAAATTTTCATGTTGTACTCTTATCCAAAACAGTATTACATAGTTGAATTTATGACTAGCCATTTCAATATACTCCATTACCACTGGTACAAAAAGAGGCTAAACTAATCCAAGTGTTATTCATCCGTGTTTTTATAATTTTACAGTTCCAAAAAATCATAATAAAAATAGGACATTTAAAATTACTAATTCAAATAGAATTGACATGTTTTGACATTTATTTACGATACAATTAACACTTAACCCCGTGCTGAAATAAAATCTATCTCTGTGTGTGAGAGTATTATAGAGGCAGTAATGCCAGCATGTCCCTTCATACAGAGCTGAAGCCTCACTGGACCCCATGCCTCTCACAATCACATGCTGAGGATTCCTGGTGTGTAATGAGATCCAGATCAAGTCAAAAAGGACTGCCAGTAGTCCACTCCCTCTTCTGCTTCTAATAAGGAGGTGAAGTGAAAAAATAACTGCCCCCAGTTTTCACAAAACTTGGTTTATTTCTACAAGTGTGATTGCTAATGCATAGTGACACCTACTATATCTCCTCCCATTACAGGCATTATTAGAAATTGGCAACGAGAGGTACACTTACATAACACTTGAATTGTACTTTTAATGATAAATAATAGCTCTGTGTATCATTTAGAAGACATAAGGAAGACTTTCCAAACAGCTATTTAAATATTGAGTTATCCATCTGGGAAGTTATGATGGTTATTATTGTTGATTGGATTGTCTCAAGGCAAGTTTTTTTTATGTAATTAAATACAAATTTCATGAGTAGTCTGTGTAATGTTTTTGGTAAATCACAATCTGATCTGATAATGTAATGGCTAAACATTTATACATGCTCTGAATATTTCTTCATCAAGTGTGCTGTCATTTTAGTTTCTGTACAGTAGATGTGTCGATAAGATTCAAGGGATTCTTTTAACCCAAAGTAATGGTTTTCTCTTATCCAAGTGTGACCTACACAATTTTCCTGCCATGACTCATGATAATAGCATGGGCAGTCCCTCTTGCAGTACTTTTCAGGATTAATGGGATTTCTGTCCCCCACTGACATTGCTGACTCTTTAACTAAGTAACTTTCGCTGTTTGTTGCCAGGAAGTTTTTAGAGCATCTCCTGGGTGTCAGGGCCCCACCCACAGGAGCCTTGGCTTCCTCTAACCTGACCTCCCAAAGTCAACAGGGTCATCCTGTGGTCACAGCCAGTATCTGTGGAAGTTGCATGTACTAGTCCATCAACTACAAGAACTTCATTTCATGAAATACAAAATTATAACTGTGCAATGACTAAAAGTAAGCAGGGTGGCCACAGTGCTCTATGATTTCCAGATCCTACCAAACCCCTCCCAGTTCTCCAATCCATTCTCCCTATATACAATCTGACATTCAAGACAGCGCCTATTGCTTTTTGTTAGCATTGATCAAACATACAGACTTGTTAATGGCCATAGAGAAGCAGAATTGTGATGTAATGGAACAGCTCTTACACAGCAATCAGCCATTTTCACAGGATTTGATTCATGTATTTTGACATACTGTTATCCTTTTACAACCAATGTCATGGAATCTATTAGCTCTACCCAATCACTGCAGATCTGTGCCAGCCAATATAAGTTGATCCCAGTTGAAAGATTTTGCGCTGTCTCTTAATTGGACACCATTACTTTCAAAAGAGAATGTACTGGGCACGTCTTCATTTGGAATCAATAAAGGTGGTTGATTTTCCACAGGGATCTCTTCGGAATGTGGCTCTGCTTTGAAAGCGTTTGATGCCATTAACATTTTGGATGAGGGCTGTAAACCAAAACTATTTGAGTCCAAAAGGAGATGCAAAATGCATGCTTATGAAAGCAGAAAAGATGAGGCATATGTTTTAGAGTAAAAATTTAATCTTGCAGAAAAATCAACTAACATTTTTTCATTGAGCTTTTATTGGACCATAAGCTAACTCAGTTGGGTGGATTTATGGCACAACTCGATTTAAAATGAGTAAAAATCTAGTGCTAGTGTGGTGTACATCTGTCTGGTGCATGGTCTGGTTGTTGAATTCGAATCATTTTCAGATTAAAGCATATTTATGTAATTGAGAGAGAACAAAATGGCAACTAAAATAACAAATTAGGCTTGTCTTTATGGGGCTTTCTATTTTAAGTTGTGGTTTATTTTTACCACTGCATAAAGAGATCTGTTCTCTCTGAGTGCTTTAAGTTTCTAGCCAGTCTGAATGCCAAATGCCATAAACATATCTTGAACTGTCTCTCAATCAAACAGGGGAATAAAGGCAAACCAAAAAAGCTTCACACTGTTCTATAATTAGTGCAGTAGTCTGTTGAGGAGTTATGGACTGGGAAGGGTCCTGAAGATGTCCTGGCACAGTTGTTTTTTGAAGACTGACCCCCAATGGAAGAAAAGAGAAGACTGTCCCTGTTCCTGTAGTGGCTGGCTCCCTTTAGTCTCACACTTCTCTGGTCGCCGCAGTCCAGGAGCCGAAGAGCAGGGCTTCCTCCTCATCACATCCACAGGGAGACTGGTAAAGGGCTCTCCTCTCTGTGATTGATGGACCAGATCCCTCCCGTCTTAACACAGCTCTGCTTGGAAGGTGGTCCGCATGATTGTACCAAATTAACAATTAATGACTTCTGTACAGCTGAATAACCCACTGGAAAACATCTACTCTTTCACGGTCTACTCTTTTTGTCTTTGGTTTAATGCGACTTTGCATAAACCCACTCTTTATTCAAACTGTGACAAATTTACAAATGTAAATTGAGCTTAAAGGATTTATTTAGATTGAATTATGATGCAGGCACCAAACCAATTAATGACAGACTTTGAATTGGATTAGGTAGAAGCTGTTGGCCAAATATTATTGAGCCAGTGCCAATGAAATCCCAGACCCAATTCAGTGAGATGGACAATACATTATTCTGCTGTCTTTGTAAACAAGGACTAAATAGATTGGGATGCTTCTGTCTGACTGTCAGATTGATCTGTTACTAAAGTCGCCGTAACCATGGGTGACCCTAATGATGCAAAACTTGAGATCAGTGTTGCAAGCCACTGCCTCCGTAATACCATGTTGTCCACGCAAATTACCGAAGCAACAGGCATGGGAACTAGCACATCGTAAACCATTAACACAGCCACATGGAGCTGGTGCCACTGAGAAATGTCAGCAAAGGCTCATAAATAGACCCTTACTATTATTAATTTAAAATGCTTTAGGACTACTACCAGACACCAATACCTAAACATGAAATCACGTGCATCAAAAAGCATTACATATTGTATAAATATAGACTTTTGCTGATTTTTTCCTCAGACCCTGCCTCACCCAGACCCGCCCTCTCACTTCACTGAGGTCAGAGTTACAGGGTGCATTGACTTTGTAAGTTTTGTGGGACCTGTGTGAGTCTCGAATCACACTGCATTTGTAGTCAGTGTGAATCTGGCATAACTTGTCATCAGCAAGTTAGGCCAAGGGGAGCTGTGAAAATGTGGCAAACTGAAAATATGAATATTTACAGAATGAATCAAATTGTGCCAGACTTGCCTGTGGTAAATTAATTTATGAACTCCTTTGACTTTGGGGATGCCACATTTATACTTTTTCTTTGCATTAAATTTTCTTTGCAATAAATTTTCTTAATTTTTGTAGTTCACAAACATTGGACTGTTGAATAGCTAATTGCTCGAGTACCATTTATTGCAGCTCATGTTTGTCATAAAATATCACATATTACCGTGGCAGGCTTCCTTATTACGCCTGCTAATAAGCTTTGTTTAGGTAAAGGGAGGCTTCTCCCATGTACACCCCACTATCACCCCACAGGCCAGACTGGTCTTGATCCTGACTCAACAGGGGTCCCAAGCTCCAGTCTCAACCACAACAGCTCATTACCCCATAACCCTGAGAAGACGAGGAGGAGGTGAGCAGACAGCAGCATGCTCAGGGCTTTGATATGGTTAGCCCCCATTAATGCTGACCTAGTTCTGCCCCGCGGCGCCTCAGGTGAAACCATGGCCCGCTCCATTCGGTCCCAGCAGGATCATAACATCAGCTCACCCTCCAGACCTCATTCCCACCAAAAACTCTGTGTGGCATACATTCCAGTCACTCCTGGGAAAGCGACACAAATGTATTTCAAATTGTGGATTTTTGTTTTGTCTGCACATGCTGTGTTTGATTTGCTGTTGTATTGGAAGCTTTATGAGCAACTGTAATGCTTTCCACTTGTAAGACCAGAACATATTTTTATCAAACTTTATATCTTTATATCTAGATTCTCAAAATGTGCCAAAATTTCAGTCAGTCATGCAGCTGCCTGCTCTAACACTTGTCGCACATACACCATTATTTTTTCTCCCTCTGCATTTGTGTCTTGTTCCCAGAGAAATCTGCCTGGGGTGAAGGATGTGTGTTTCTTTGCTGGCCAGTGTTTCAAATGCAGTTTTTCTCACTCCACATTTACAATGTCATGTCAGTCGAAGCAAGTTCCAAGTGTAGTAGAAAATTTGGAAAATCTACAGTATGTTATAAACTCCAATAACAATATGAACTCTGATTCCAGACTGCTTCATTTAAGATAAGATGTAAAAGGCTGAGTGACTTGTTCTCGCCCAAATGCAGAAAGAATCAACTCCTCTTTCTGTGTGGAGTATACTTTGCATGTTTCTCCCCATGTCTGGGTGGGTTTCCTTCAGGCACATTGGTTTCCCCCATCAACTGTCATTCATTTTACTAGGGGTGTGCAAAAATATCGGAATATCGATATATCGTATCGTTTAATGTGATGATACAATATCGATATCGTGGGCTACTGTATCGATATATCACCAAGAGTATTTTTAGGTGTGTTTTACTAAATTATTTTGTTGCAGCACTACAGTTTTGTTGCTTGTGGAGTGAAGGGAAACTCATTTATGTAACATATTTGACATTTTGACACTGTTTTGAAGATTAAAATGTTTGTGTTTCATATGAACTTTGCACAAGAAGTGGTTTAACAAAGACTTGTAGTATCACAGCCATCATTTAGCCTTTATTTTTTTATTGAACTGTATCGAATCGTTTTGAAATATATCATATCAAATTGAAAGTGCACTGTATTGAGATATGTATCGTATCGTGGCCTGTGTATCGAGGTATGTATCGTATTGTGGCCTTTGTATCGAGGTATGTATCGTATCGTGGCCTGTGTATCGAGGTATGTATCGTATCGTGTCCTGTGTATTGAGGTATGTATCGTATCGTGGCCTGTGTATCGAGGTATGTATCGTATCAGCAACTTCTTAATGATACCGAGCCCTACATTTTACCCACATGGACAGTAGGTTAGGTCCTTCATCTTAGGTAGTACTGACCAAGATCTCGAAATGGGTCTGTGGGCCCTATGCTTTAATGCCCACTGTACTGCTCCTGACAGGTTGGTCCAGAGACACTGAAGGATGGGTTAAATGCAAAGGACAAATTTCCCCACGGGGGCAATAAAGTATGCCTTAAGCCTATGTCAAATGAATACTAAAGTAGTAAGAAAATGTTAAAATTTCAAAAGAGCAAGGATCTTGTCATTCAGGTGAAATTGGAATTTAATTTGTTAAATAATTGTTGATAAATAATTGTAATCTCTATCTCTCTGTGTTATGAATGAAACAAATTTCTATAATGCTATATCTACTAGCATATTATTGAAGGCTTACATAATGCAGTTTTTCTCACAGATTCTAGCCACCATTGGATTCTGATTTCCTCTGTGCCATATGAGTGGCAGTGACCCCTGTGCGCAGTAAATGGCGCATTGTAGACTCTGCTGGTGCAGAGTGAATGACGACAGTGATTGTATGGCCGCACAGGGCATTAATAGTTATTTACTGCAGCTCTACACAAGGACACACCTGAAGCTCACATACATTTAGTGCTTTGGAAAAACAGTGTTTCCTGGTGTACTGTGGACACATTAGTTTCTCGTTAGAGGAGATTTATGCTTAAGGTAATGATCAGGGTTAGGCATGTCATGTAGGTTTCCTCCACATATATTTATGATGTAAGCCCTCCCTTCGTGTGTCTCTGGGGTGAGGAGAGAGCTGTAGGTAATATGATTATAGATGACGTCGAGTGTTATCCTTACATTGTGCTGGATGGCAGTGGTGTCTTATAAATGCTTGTTTGATGGGGATCCATTTCCATACACTCAGTCTGGGATCCCCCAGGGCCCAGCTGTGGGTCCCCTTATTTTTCATCTTGCCACAGTGTTCACATCTGTAAGTTATAGTCTAATGCGTCTCCTCTGCTAAAAGTGCAATGCTTTGTGACAAAAAGACATTTGTCTTTGAGAACAATGTGTTTTTACTAGGCTTTCTCTTTCTGTTTGCAGCATACGCAGTGATTGCCAATGGACAAGTGGAATGTTCAAAAGGTTATAAAAGGCTCAATCTCACACACTGTCAAGGTAAGCAATATATTACTGTAAATTTCTCAAACAAATTTTAGCATGTCCCACGCTGTCCCATTCTTTGACATGCACAGCTGTGTTCATTGCACTTGCATGCACTTCCCTTCAATTTTAGTAACAGGATAACTGTTGTCATATAATAAGAATGGTGCTTTTGTTTGGGTATTGGTGCAACACATTTTGTAATGTTTTTTTTATTTTTCTCTGGGAGCAAGAAAGGTTTGTATTATTTTTAAAAACTGCGAACAAGTACACTCTTATTGTCCAACAGTGTCGACGTGCCAACAATTTTATCTTTGTATTATTCATGCTTTTCATTTGATTGTTTCAAGATGTTATCCTTCAACTGCTGTTCCCATAGATCCGAAAGGCATTGCCACAATGTTTACCAGAAAGCTTTAGACTGAAGCCTGTTCCCTAGCTGTTCCATTGATGCGGAAACAATCCAAAAGCTGCTTTGTGCTGGGATTTGATCATTATTATTCAAATGTCTAGCTTGATTGTGGTGTCTACATTGATGCGTTCATAACAGTTCAGAGCTTGTCCCATATTCAAAAACAGGCATTATGTTATTTTCACTGATTGCCATTTGACCCATATGGCCACAGCTACAAGATAAATCTGTCTTTCAAAGTCTAAAACTGCTCCCAGCCTCCTTATCTGCACAAGCTGCTTCTCAGAACTTGTTCATTTGAATTGGCCATTTGTAGCAGAACTTCCTGGATGAAAGTCACAGTTGTGGGTGGTAGGCTGGAGAGTAGAGCAGGGCACATTACTCATAGACCACTTCAAAGAATGAATGTTGGATTTCTTACATAACAAACTTTTGAATCGAGTTAGTAAAAGCTTACAACAAAATCAGCATTCCGGCATCTGGGATTTAGCATATTTTTATATTTGTTCCATGATCAGTTTGGGAATAGTTAAAACAGTGCATTTGTTGTGCAGTGTTAGCTGAAGTCATGTGCACATGTTTAAAAAATAAAACAAGAAACAAAACAAAACAAAAACAATCAAGATGTTACACTTTTAAAACATCCAATTACTTTACTTTACAAATATTTCAAGGAAATTGCATTTTTTATCTTTTTGCTATCATTATAATGTCACAATATAGTAATCATGCAGTAGAGTCAAAAATCAAGAGTGTTATTTCATGGTAAGTGAAACTACCACCTTTTCTGTTATATATTATATTTCTGTTAATACATTTAGCAGAGTCCATAAAGGAATTTGAGACATTAAATGCATGTTATTTTCAACCAAACTGTAGTGAAAAGGATCAAGAAGTAAGGTTATATAAGGTCAAACATTGCAAGTTTAATTGTGCTATGTTCACAAAGCCCTCTCTTGCTGAGAGCGCTCAAGCATACATTCAAAATACATGTTATGATTTATAGCCGTCATGACAGCTTGTCATGGAAGTGAGTTCCAATCCCAGTCATCCCACCAGCAGACTCCCACAACAGCACTAATCTGGGACTCAAGTCGACTGTGGATTAAAGACCCCATGTGATGAGGACTGAGCCTAAACTTGACCTTAACCAAAATGTATGCAGTGTCCATAGTACTTATAGAAGTGGAAAAGTTGGGAGTATGTAATTTTTTTCATTATTATTTATTATTTCTGTATTGAATAAACAGGATAATAAGGGGATTTTGGATGTTATCACAGCATGACAAATAAAAGTTCACTCTGACACTGACTTTCAAAAACAAAAGCATAAAGCCAAGGTTCAGGGATTTTCAAAGTCCTGAGAGCGTGGATTCAACATTGTCTAAATTGGACAAATTGGAAAGTATATGCAGAGTCACCGGTGTTTCAGAAGGAATTATAAACTTTCAATCCCTACTCTGATAGATTTTGGTGTACTTAAAATGACAACAGAATAACTAGTTAATAAAGAGTTTATGATATTAATTGTGAATATATTGAAGTTTCACATCCTGGACCAACTCTGTAAACAACGATAATAAAACACACCCTTCTACTTCTGACGTATGTTCATGGACTGTTGCGATAACATGCACACTAATTTCGTTAGTATTCACAATTAACTGTCATAACTATTTAGGAATAGGGTGTATCTAAGCGTTTTCAGTTCTAATAAAGAACTGTTGACTACATTTTGTTCACTGAAATTGACATGTTTTTTTCTTGGAGACATATTGCACCAATTTAAAATGTATGCAATAAACTTAGAAACAAAGAAACTTCTTATTAAAGCAACACCAGGGTATCTGGGTTCACTGGAGTCTATCTGCCCTTATGCCTTTATAAGATCACTTTTTCCAGGCATGAAGGAAACAACCAAACAAGGGCCGATTAATTACAATTCTGGGGAAATCTGTGGTGGCAAGCCAGTCGGTTCCAGTCGTCAGAGCAATTGGAAAAGACCTAATGATGCTCTCTTTGTTTAACACAGAAGAACAACAAACTTTGCTCGGTCCCCGGTGTGATTGCATGACTAAGAGCCTCAAGAATGTCCCCCTACGCTCCTGGTTGGCATGTTAACTGGGCATGTTTTGGCTTTGCGACTTAGCAGCATTCTCAACTGACCATTAAATAAGGAAAAACATCTTTATAGCTTTAGCTTGATGCTATTTATGAATGTTGTACAGTAAAGATGACGAGGATGCATACCTAACATTTCCACTTGTGTCTTCTGTTTTTTACCTATTTCCACAGATTTGACTGATACATTGCGCACCACTGTTGCCATTGTTTTTGTGCAAGTGTAGCACTTCACTTTTCATCGCCTCCATACAGCTGCATGTTCAGACTAAATGATCTATTGATATGTTCTGTCATCTTTTTAAGTGCAAATAATTTCTGTCTTAAAAATTACATCACATCTGCTGCTCTTATGGAAGACAGACAATACTCCATGTGAAAAATGCGAAAACAATGAATTATATTGATACTTGTTTGAAGCGGTTCAAAGGCAGTTCGGAATGTTTCAAAATATGACTTCATCCTAATTCCTGAATAAAAATGTGCTGCATATTTCACAGACATAAACGAGTGCATGCTCCCTGGGATCTGCAAGAACGCTGAATGTCTTAACACCAAAGGGAGCTACAGGTGCACGTGCAAACCAGGATTCATGCTAGACCCGGCCCGGAGCCACTGCATCTGTAAGTACTGTATCAATGACACTTCATCAAAGGCACTGTTGTGGAGGACCGGTGTGTAACATATACTGTTGTGTGCAGCTGACAAGGCGGTGTCTGACCAAAGGGGAATGTGCTACAGATCACTGTCAACTGGGACGTGCTCTCTGCCTCTGTCTCTGCACATCACAAAGCAGATCTGTTGCTGCAGTCGAGTGGGCAAGGCCTGGGGACATGCCTGCGAGCGCTGTCCTCTGCCCGGATCAGGTATGCTCAGCTAATGCCAGCATTTAAAAGCAGCTTTTTACATTCTTCATCATTAACTGGGCATGCCAGGCAGGGTCATAAAGCAGGGTTGTCCTTGGGTAGGTTTCTTGTTTTTTTCTATTCTGTACAAAGAAATATTCTGTCCTTTTTATGTAATTAGTTATGATTGTTCGTAAAGGATTGATTTTATTGGAAATCATTTTGATTGTGACGAGTTCCAGAGCCAGGTCATGTAGCCAAAAATGTGAATGTGTTTGTATATGACTGGCCAGCCTACTTTTTCAATGTATTCACATGAAAAACATATTCCAGATTTTTGAAAGGAGGGATATGTGGTTTCTTGTTCTTAAACAATGGGTGTGTAAGGAAAAAGTGTAAATCCCTCAGCCGTCCAGGTAGAATCCATGGCAAAGGAGAAATTCAATATGTCAACTGGACAAAAGTTTATTTATGTGTAAGGAATATCCAGTGGAGTGTAACATTCTTTTTGTTGATTTACAGCGCTATCATCAAGACACAAACACACAAACTGCATGTGACTATACTGCATCTCTACCTAAATGTATCTACATTAATACAATAATGTCATAATTGTTATGTGCTACATATGGCCCGGTCTGTTCTGGTTTTCTTTCAATTTCTCTGAGTTGGAACCTGAACTAATGTATTGGAGTTGTCAAAAGTATAAAAAATCCAAACTAGATACTCATATGAGCAGGTATTGATACTACAAAGTCACATTCGCAGGTCAGAAATTATGAACCCATGGACCACAATGGGACCTACCTGGTTGGCTGTGGGATTACACAGATATAAGACGACCTCATGGTAATATAAACAAAAGTATTATGATTTAATGTTGAAAATCACATTCTGTTGTCTAAAGAAAGAGTGTTTTAATTATCATTGTTGTATCAGAATCGGCCTTGAGTATCGAGTCTGTCCCTTGTATTGAACCTGAGTTTGAAATTTTAGTATCGTGACAACACTAGAATGTCCCTAGATGTAGGCATCCTTTCCAATTGTGCACTGATGCAGAAGTCCAGCCCTTGTTCTTTAAAGAAATGAAAGGGTAACCAAAGGGGCACTGTCCTGATTCTTCCAAGGCACGTAAAGCATTTGAACATAACCTAATTTATTTGGACTGGAACGGCACCAGAAACATAACTGTTTTCATATTTTGGAAGCAGCATAACAGTGGGAGTCCATGTTGTGTTATCGCTCCAGCCCTCCGAGAGAGAGCCCAGTAATAGACAACTGCAACAAGAAAAAGCCAAGGCCAAGTGCAACATGGGAAGTAGTTGTCATCTTTTTTCATTCCGATCTAATCTTCAAAGTCGGTAAGAGAAACTTGCTGGTTTTATGGAGTGTCTGTTCTGGCCAGTGATGCTAAGGTCCTGTGATGGTTCAGATATCACACACTTAGACCTCCGCGGTGTAGTCCTGTTCAGTACAGATGCTGCGTACTGACACAGGGCCTCTGATTACACAGTACCGCTGGCTTTCGAACGTCCTGACAAGCAGTTTGAGCCCGGGTCAATGCTGCCAGGAATATTACCTGCGACAGCGTAACAAGAGATCACTGACCCTCATTTTAAATTTTCTCCATTTCCTTGGATGTGGCAGCTGATGGTATATAGCCCCATTTCCCCTTTAACACTTTAAATTCATCATTCAGTAGCCTATCTTGTACGTTTCCTGCATTTACACAAGCATTTACAGGGACCACATATCTGTCATTACCGATATCCTTGCGCCAGACTCCTTTTGGCGCTGAGTTGCGGGTTTCAGGTCAGTGGGAGGACAGGCCGCTTCTTACTTGTAATGGATTCACCATCGCTGAGGTTTGCTGAGCTCCCAGACAAAGAGGTGCAGTCCTGATCCTTTTATCTAGCAAGCCAATCCTCCATTTAACCCCGCGCCCACACTCTTCTGCACTGTAAAGTTCAAAGGTCAAGGCTCCAAAGATTGCCTTACTGGTACAGCAGCTTTTGCTTATTTAACTGTGAAGATCTTTCCAGAATTTGTCGCTGGTGGGTCGTGGTGACAGCTCTCTGGTCTGGCAGCTAAAGCAGGACATGAAACCTAATCTTTACATTCACAGGAAAAAGCATCAAATTCAGCCTGACGGTACTACACAACGGTTTATGCCAGTTTTGTGAACTTTTGGCAGCAATATGAGCCACAGTGTACTGGCAAATGTTCATTTAGCTTCATAGGCAAAAAGGAGAGTTAAGACTTCAAGTATACCTGATCTCAAAAAATCCATTCGCTCCTTTTGTGTTATTCGCCCCCTCTGGATATAGATTGATGTATTAGATTTTATTGATCAGACCAAAGCTAACCATTTACTGTTCACAATAGCTTGTAATATGAATAGATAATAATGTTGTCAAACTTGATTTCAATACTAAGGAAGGATGTAATACGCAATACCAAAGTCAATACCACAATGACTAAAAACCCAAAATAAGAGTTGCTTTATTATTACCATCTGGTCTTATACTAGTTCTGATATAGATCAACAGTAAAACTATTCAGATCCCAATATGATGATACCAGAAAATTGATACCTTATTTTGATATTAGTTTTAGAAACTGGGGATCCATTTTTGACAGCTCTAATGGACAATTATGTAATGATATCTGCATATATCTGCTGTACAAAAATACTTTATTATGTGGGGGATGGCTTTTCACAGATGTTTAACTTCATATTGCTTCATGTTTTTAGTGTTTTTTTTTTCTTCAAATCCAGAACAAGTGTCCCTTCTTCTTGTAACACTATGCTCTTTGTCTCTTGTCTGCACTGTTGTCTGTCTGGCTCCCTGCAGACCACTTTAAGGAAATCTGTCCAGTGGGTCATGGATACACCTACTCGCGCTCCGACGTGCAGATCTCCCTCCGGCAGCTGGACGATGACGAGCTGCAGAACACAGGGCTGTCGTGGGAGGAGGAGAGCCCCACTTACCCCCAAATCCCCTCCTCTTTTGACCCCTCCCTCCCTACTCTGTATCCCAGTCACCCGCATACGCCCCATCGACCGCAGCATCCTGGATACCCCGAGACGCCACATGTACCACAGCAACCAGCCACACCACACCTGCCGTACCCGCCCTTTGTGGATAACACTCCTAAAGAGACTGATGGTGAGTCATATAGCACTAGTAATGTGTGAGTAATGAACGATGCAGCCGCTACAGCTTGGATGTGGCTTCTAGCATCTTTAAAATATAAAATTTGTTGTTTTTTCTTGTTTACTGAGGAAAAATCTGAAATAAGGGAATGAAATGTAGCTTTCTATGAGTGCAATGCACTTGTTTAAGATAGGGTACCAGATTTTCAGACTGTGAAAGGAGGAAGTATGTATTTAAATCCACATGCATGAATATTTAGTGGCGTGTGGGCGTGTACCTGGATCTAGAACTTTTTCAGACAGGGAAGCGAAACTGGGGTGACCCTCCCAAGTACAGGCAATTGCTCTGGTTTCGGTGAACGTAAAATTCTTTATTATTAGCTACAGACAGTGCTCAACGGTCTCATTTTGCCACTAAGTTTGCTGCTTTTACATATACTCTTTGGGAGAAAACGCAATAGAAAAAAGTTGGGTACCCCAGCTTAAGATATACTGTTAAAAAAACCATATGATACATGGCTTATCATAGAAATGAAATGTCCAACATAAACAGGAAGTGTTGTATCTCCATAATATCTGTTGCAGAGTTTCACATACTTCAAGACTTAACCCTGTTATTAAGTGAAACCTGCTGTGTATTAGCTTTATGCACACACTCAAATCCATGTTCCTCATTCATCAGTTTCCCCATAATTTCTCAGATAATATATCTTTCTGATTTAATGCTTAGGAAACACTTTCTTGGCCTGACTTTGAGCATTTGATTTGTTTAAAGAGGGCTTTCATGCAAATATTTAGGTCTTTTTATCCAAAATACTCCGTTTGCATCTCTTATGGCACTTTTCAGTACATCGTAACAATGCAAGTCAGTGGGTGTTCTGCACGCTTTGTTTAAGAAATAAAGACCTCCAATAGAGTGACATGCAGAACCACAAGCTGTCATGTACGTCTAATGTATCTCGTAGTTAAACTTGTTAATATGAACAGAATGTGAGTGTTTACTTGTCAACTCTCTGCATGTCTTTCTTTACAGATGTGGAAATTCTGATCCCGGTGAGTTCTGCTGCTGTCAGACTGGAGGCACACGCGCCTGATATGTTTATCTTTCTGCAATATGCTCTTGCTCTCAGCTGGAGGTTCTGTTTTGATTGCATAACTTATTCAGACCACATTTCACTACATACAAGCATTGGACCAGTAATGACTTACATGACAGAAGCCAGTTCATTAATATGTAATGTAATAGTTTGTATGTACTGTTTTCCAGCCAGCTGTTGTGACTGAGTCACCACTGAAATATCCAGGTATTTCTTTTTTTCTTCACTGATTCACTGCTTAAATCCATTATACAAATACAATACACACTCTGAAATCTTGCAAATGTAAGAAATAATGCAGTATTCATTGTAGAACATGCACAATAAGGCAGATTCTGAGTTATTTTCTATCTATCAACAATCTAATAACAATAGTAGTACAATAGTGTACAACTTAAAGTAGAATTAAAATGGCATTTTGCAACTTTTTCAGAAATTTGATTATTATAGCTTGTTTGCTTCATCCTGACATATTTTATCATTGCTTTAACCCACAATAGTCAAAATATTGACAAACACTGTCTGCACCCCACATGTCCAAACAGTTTATTTTGGTTATCCAACTTTTAGCATGAACCAAAGAACAGATGATGTAAAAATAGCTGTCCGCCCAGTGGAATGGTTAGCATTTTAAGCCACATCCTGCATGTGTTTGTTTGTAGTTTTTGTCTCCACTTACTCATTCCTCTTTATAGACTCAACAATCAACATTCAGAGACCAGATTCAAAGGATGCAACATACTCAGGTCCTTCCTCAGGTAACCAAAAGCTTAAATACACATACAAGTGCCGTAGTGGCAGGCCACATAAAGACTTCATCCTTTCTATTTTTGGAATATTTCATAAGACATTTTTGCAGGATTACCCAGAGTTTAACTAGGAAGGTCTTGTGTTGTGCTTGTATTTGACCCCATTTCTGTACGCCAGTTTGGCCTTCAAATGCTTCTCAGAGGGTGAGAAACAAAGATCTAGTGTGCCTTTTGGACAAAGATACTGTCCAGTGTAAGCCAAACCCAGAGATCAAGTGTGAACAACTGCAGCTATGGGACTTTTAGAGTTTGTCAACTTCATTTGACTCAACAAAAGCTTTGCAGATCATAATACATATAATTGGCATTAAAATTGTTTTAGCAGCTTAGTAAATTTGATTTAGAAAACCATGGAAGGAATTGTTATTTTTTGGCTCATCGGTAGTATTCTCATGAATTTTTCAGTCGCATACTGTTTCAAATGGCGAAGCAACTGAGGGTTAAGTGACCTAGTACAGCCAATCCACTCTCATCCCAGTTCGTGATATAGTGATGTGCCAAACTCTTTCCTCTGCTCTAGTGATCAGTAACATTTAAATACAATTTAGAGTTATTAGAACATTATCAAGGACATCTTTATTTTATCTTTTAAAAAATAAAGTGAGTGGAGTTTAATTAAGAATTTTCAGATTCAGTTGTTTAAAACATACACTTTGATAAATCTGTTGGTGTTCCTTTAGTGATTATGTTCTCTGATCAGGATTTCTAGTTAATATTTTTTTCCACTGTGGAGCACAAGAGCACAGTAAATGTCTCTAGTAGCATAGACCATTTGGATTGAAAAGACTGGAACACCACCAGTGTCAGGCTCAACTGTGCATGACATTTTTGTCACCATCCCAGTAAAGCTCTCCTTTGCACCTGTTAGAACATTACTGTCCCGTAAACCTGCCTTTATCCAAAACTATGGTTATAAAACAGCAAGACGCTCTCTCAACATATGCTGAAGGAATGCTTCTTTTATTATTTTTTTTCTCCCCTAAAATTATGTAACTCTTGGTCAAAGGTTTTGTCCTCTGCCCTAAATATTTATTTTAGTGGGAATTGTGTGGTTCTTTTGCAGATGTTGACAAGTGTGCCACCACCCCTAACATTTGTGGTCATGGGAGATGTATCCCCGTGCAGACTGGCTACACCTGCGACTGCAACCCCGGTTTTAAACTCAGTGCTCTGCAGACCAACTGTATTGGTAAGCAACAAGGGAAAAGTACATAAAGACACAGACAAGCCGACACCAAAGGTTCTGTCTTTCATCATGTCAATGGCAAGTCGACAAAGCCGTTCAAATATTCAAGACCCGCAAGAAATACAAGTGAGCCAAAGTGGAAAGGATCTGTTTGTTTATGTTGACCTGTGCTGTGATGACTGCCAACAGTTTACAGCGTCCAAAGAGCTGATGCTTTTCCTCATGGAGAAGGTCTTGTCCTCTGCTCAGGGAGTCACTGGGCTCTGGTCCCTGTTTGAGAAATGCACGTACAGTACAAAGGCGGGGTTTGGAAAGTGATCGCTCTCTGCTGGAGAACTGTGACTAACTCTAATAACTTCGTCCATTCATGCTGTTTGTTTTTTTCAGCCTTGTTTTTTTGATCCTCAGAGGAAATGTTTTTGTTTAAATCAAAATTAGATGTTTTGTGGTTTTTTTGGGGGGAATTGTGTTGTTAATAGAGTGGAGGAAAGACACTGCAGATATTTCAAAAAGTCCAGAATTCTATGCTTCTTTAAAGCTTTTATTGATATTTCAAAACTCAAATAATTGTGTTGTGCAGATGTGAATGAATGTGATGAGGACCCATGTGAGGGAAAAGGCCGCTGCATCAACAGCTTTGGCTCTTACACCTGCCACTGTTACAGTGGCTACAGTCAAGTGATCACGCAGAACAGGAAGTACTGTCAAGGTGAGGCTCAGCACACACCTGCCACACATTATTAGGTTTCCAATGGGTGAAAGCCTCCTGCAGCTTTGTCCATTAGGGTACCGAAGGTTTATGTCTGTCAGCGCTATTCCTTCAAAAAGTAGCTTGTTGTAATTAATGCTTGTGAACTGAATAGTCACTTTCTTTTCCTTTCTCCCTGATTTTCATTACACTGGCAGACATTAATGAGTGCAACGTGCCCAATAAGTGTCAGAATGGCAAATGTGTCAACTCTGAAGGATCTTACACTTGTGAGTGCAACACTGGATATGCCAAATCCTGGAGAGGCCATTGTGAAGGTAACTACTATCCATGCAGAGGCTTTCTCTCACAAAATGCACTGACAGATGACAGATGACTAAAATACACTGGAATAGATCATGTCTGCTGTATGTTTATCACCACCATTTCATTCATATAAACTTTTTCTCGCCACCCAAAATAGTTGTTGAAAAACATAGTTTGGTCTTTATTAGCTAATCTAATTGATATGATTTTAAGTCTCTTAGGATAAATGCGTATCTCTTTGCCTGAGCAGATGTGGATGAGTGCAGAGACTCCAGCTCTTGTCCTCACGGTTTATATGTCAACACTGTGGGCTCCTTCCTGTGCCAAGCCTGTGGCCCCGGGTTTAGGCCGCTCCATGACAGATGTGTGGGTTAGACAACACCACTATTTGAACAGCACAGCTTAATGTACCAGTGCATCTGAGGCAAAACCCATGTACCACAGCTTGGAAATATGCTGGGTTTCCCTTTTTTATCCTAAAAGCTTCCGGATTTTGGTAACACTTACGTCCACCAAACTACTTATGTTGGTTGGCATGAAAAAAAAAAGTCCTTAGCAACATTGCAAACACACAAGCTGTTAACGATGTGCCGACATCCCATGATGCAGAGCAGTTCTGCTACTACCACAAAATAAATGAGCTTACACCTTTTATTGAAAAGGCCCACTGTCTGAGGAGATGTTTAAAATGAATACAAAATAAATTGTTTTACGCTTCAAAAGGCCTAACTAATGTTTAATGTCTTATGTGTGGGTCGACTAAACCACAGTGATGATTGGTACATTGTGCATGGTCAGGCTGAGCTCAGACCTCCGCCCTTTCACTCGTTCACTGTTTCCATGTACTCCTCTTTTTATATAACTTTTTTTATCTGCTCCTTTTTCCAGTAGCCTTCCTATTATTGTTAGAACACATAAATCCTGTTATTCTTGATTTCCCAGTTTTAGGATCGCGGCTTTGTTTTTAATACCTTAACATGGGAGAGTCCAAATATTGTTTCTCGACTGATGCATATTTCTGCTTGAGAGCTGTAGCCAATGATTATGGTAATACTGTGCCTGTGCTAGAGCAACTGGTACTTGTTGGTCAACATGCAAAATGATTCCACTCAACATGACATGGTTTAATAAATTATGACTTAACATCCAGAGGAGTAAAATAGCATGTGCTTTAATGTAACACACCTATAGTTACATAATACCTTGAATCGTGTTACTGCCATATCCCCTCTCTGACCTTGAGCGCTGCTAATTTGTTTGGAAACCTTAGCTCCAGTGCTGAATTTTCTGGAGATGCGAACAGGCTACGACTCGGAGAATGCAGGAATGATGGAAAATCTGGTCATCGGCTTCAGCAGAGCTACTGGTTTTTAGAAGTCGTTGCTAAGTGGGCCTGACGCTGATTGAAACACATCATTGGCGCTCTCTTCTATTTTCGGTGGTCCCATGAATTTGTTGCTTCCAGAGAAAATACCACCTTGGCAAGTTTAGTTTTCACAAATCCTCTTGTGTTATTCCTTCCACTGAAAATGTCTTTAAATAGTCAAACAGAGGAACCAGGCTAAATCAGGGAAGCCAATGGAAGGTAAATGTTTTTCCTCAGCAGCCCAAAGACCTACCCTATAGTATACGTCTGGCACAGTGGGAGTCACATTAAACAGTAGGAGCTGGCTTCCAGGATCTGTCTCAGTCAATTGACAGCAGCACAGTGGTTAGGGGCGAATTGAGCAAATCAGGGATAAGCCTAATTGCTGGTGTGATAGAAAAAACAGCTCTATTGCCTTGCCGGGGCTTATCATAGAGGACTTAGTGATGCTGTGTGATTGCAGAAAACCAAACGTCAAGCCGCACTGACAGAGCCCTGGCAGTACCTGCACAAGGCCACACAAAACCCTCTGTGTCTTTATCAGGCTGTCACTGTTGACTAATGAGACTGTAATTGATATGCTCACTACCAGGTGAACCAGAAGAAAAAAACATAATTAGTATTTTATTTACTTAATTTAGCCTTATCCAAGCTATGTTTAGAAATAACAGTTGTTTTCTCTGTTTTCCAGTACTTCAATTCCCTATGCTATTTCCACATCTTTAACATACCATGTTCCTCCTATTTTATAATGTCTCTATTTCTTCATACCTTCAGTTCACATTATTAACATAATTTGATTTTCCTTTCATTCCTTCTCCACACCTTCACCTGAGCTATAAAACTGTTAACACTCCAATAGATTCCACTATAAAACATAGTTTCAGCACAAGTTTATTGGCGACATAATTCCACAGTCAAAGGTTTGACTCATAGACTGGAAAAGACATAATGATCTGCTGATGTAACCTAATGACTGCTGTTACTCACTAATTAGGCTCCAGTCATTTGTACTGCGAAGTGCCACTATACATATCTGTGTACACTGTTTTCTTTCCTGTTAGGGTTTCCTGTAACAATGGATTCATGTTCCTACTGGGGCTATAAACTTAAGATTCTGTTATTCCAAAAAGCCTAGTTTAAACACACCTCCTGTGGTATGAGTTCATGTACCTAGATCTGAATGCACTTCTGATGTCTTTTCCCCAGTACTGTATCCACGCCAGGACAGTAGGATGTAGTTTTATTTATAGTTCTCTGACCTTTGTTCACAGATGTAAACGAGTGTCTGAACCAAACTGCCTGCAGCAATGGAAGGTGTGTCAATACAGAGGGCTCCTATAGGTGCAACTGTTTCCTAGGATACAAACTGTCATCAGACAACACCTGCCAAGGTAACTTTCAATATTATTTTTATGTTTGAACAAAAGGTTTATGGTACCACTGCGGATTCCCTTTATCTTCTGTGCAGATGTGGATGAGTGTGTGCGTCCAGGAGTGTGTCTCTATGGACGCTGCTCCAATCTGGATGGAAGCTACAAGTGCAGCTGTAACCATGGTTACAAAGTCACATCTGACGGCAAAGCCTGTGAAGGTCTGCTTAGAATTATCAACAGCTTTGGACTGCCATCTATTATTCAGTGTTTATGACGACATCATCATGTCAACTAATCATTTTTGTTCAGACATCAACGAGTGTGCAGCCGGTAATGCATGCCCCGCAGGAATCTGTCTCAACACCGTGGGATCCTTCACCTGTCAGAAGTGCAGGCCTGGCTTTGGACCGTCTGTGGGTGGACTCAGATGTGAAGGTATGAAATTCTCTCTAATGATTTACACAAACTCAACTTTACACAAACTCTGGAATGAACCAATAATTACTCCGTGCAGCTTCGATGAAAAGTGATCTTTGTTTCCAGATGTGGATGAATGTGCCCAGGGAGATGTGTGTCAGGGTGGGATTTGTGCTAACACTGAGGGGTCCTACACCTGCACCAGGTGCAAAGCCGGCTATAGAGTTTCCTCAGACCGCAAGAGATGTGAAGGTAACTAACAAGTCCAGCTCTTGTCATTTGTCTGTAATTAGTGCCCTGATGTCATCAGAACTGACTGAATCATAGTTCACTGCCTACTGCTCGTAATGTGTGTGAACTTTGTTGTGGCTCAGATATTGATGAGTGCCAGTCTCTGTCTACTTGTGCCAATGGGATCTGTCTGAACACGGAGGGCTCTTATACCTGTGAGAACTGCCCCTCAGGCTACACAGTGTCCTATGATGGAGAGCTGTGTGAAGGTGGGCTTCCTCACAACATGACTGATGTAGACCTGTGTGTTTTTGTCTATTACTCACTGTGTTTACTATGATTTACTTTCAGATATTGATGAGTGCAGACTTCCTCTGACATGCCCACAGGGCACATGTACAAATACTGATGGCTCCTTCACCTGTCTACAGTGTCAGCCAGGGTTCAGAGTCTCTGATGATGGTTTACAGTGTGATGGTGAGCAGACACATTGCCACAAACATTTACTTTTTCGCTCAAAACAACAAATCATTTATTAATTCAGTTACTGAGAATGCTTCAGTTTGTTTAAAAATACCCAAGTGCTCAGACATCACATCATAGCTGGATTTCACCATCTGTGGTGCAGCATTCCTCAGCAAATACACTGAAATACTAATTATCAGATGTCATGCTGTAGCGTTGACATACATCCAAAATGTCTTTGTCATTTCCAGTACAACTAATGTATCTATGCATGTTCTTTTCCAGATGTAGATGAATGTTTGGTGGGTAATGTGTGCCCAGGCCAGCAGTGCCTCAATACTCCAGGAGGATACACGTGCAGAAGCTGTGGAGTGGGACTACAGCTGTCCAGTGATGGTTACACTTGTGAAGGTACAACAAATTTATTAGCTGTATCAGGCAATATAGGTAAAAAAAGACATGTTTCATCAGTAGCTTCAGGTAATAGGTAATAAAACCTTTTTTTCTTGTATTGTGTAATATATAGTAGGTACAATATATGTAATATATATATAATACATACAATAAGTACAAATAACTAGAATTTTTTTTGTTTTTGTTCTTGTTTACATAATAAATGTATTGTAGCCATATTCAGCTATACTGAAGTGAACATAAATAGTCTCAGTACATGATTACAGAAAATCTTTATGGTGCTGTGTAATTTGTAATGACATGATTCATGAGACATATGCATTGAAACGGCTGTTTCGATGGATCCAGGAGGTTGGATCTGTCATGACTTCATGGGAAGAAGAAAAGGGAATGATTATTTAAATAGGCTCAGTAAGTCATATACACCACACTGTTGTTTTAAATGAAAGAGTGGATGGAGCACAAGAGAAGATCCCCCACAGATATGTGTCCGAACGCTGGGAAAGAATTTGGATAACACAAGCTAATGCCGGCCTCTGATAGGATTTTAATGAAGGTGTCCGATGCCATGGAAAATATTAACGCTTTAATTTGAAATGAAGTCAACCACTCCCATGGTGTCCATGTTCCTGATCTTGCTCCTCTCACTCAAAAGCAGAACAGAGCTGTCTCAACAATTTAACAATAGCCCACACTCTATTCGGCTTAAGAAACGCAATCTCCACAGACCCACAAAGAATGTCCAGTGATCACATCGCAGGGAGGCAATGACTGTTTGTAGATTCAGCGATTATATGGCACCTGCTTGCCTTTTTGGACCTGATGGCCCTTCTGCATACTTATCTTTCCACCCTTTTTAATAAAACACTGTCAGTGCAATCCAATAAGGGCTTTTCTAATTATACATGTTAGTCCCAATGCCGTTTGCTTAACAGATAACTTTTGAGCTAAGACTAAAATAATAAACTTAAAATTTTCTTTATTGCAGACATCAATGAATGCCTCACCCCAGGAGTCTGTCCGATGGGTGTTTGTACCAATACAGAGGGCTCTTTCTCCTGCATGACTTGTGACTCTGGCTACACTGTGGCACTCAATGGCATCTCATGTGAAGGTACGGAATATGGACTTTTTTCATCACCCTAAGACTTAAAATGGTATTATGTGTAATCATTTTCTTAGTCATAGGCTGACACAACAGTGGGCCTGACATAGTAAAGTGAGCTCAGGCCATTCCTTAAGCTTTGGCTTTCACTGTGGTCCACATTTATCACATTCTTGACAACTATTTGTGTGGCAAAGAAATATTACCCATTTTGTTTTTCTTGTTGGTCTAGGTGCCAGCATTAATCGATTTTTAAACACTTGTGTCTGTTTTCCAAGCTATATTAGCTTACATGTTGTCTCTTTTTTTTTTGCTTTAACTGAGCAAATTGGTGGTTTTCAGATGTTAGAATGTGATGATGCCACACTCAGATTGGGGCAAGAGACAGTTTTTCCTGTTGGCAACATTGTATTTTGTCCTGAAATATTTTAAAGTTAAATTCACAATGTTGAACCTGATAATTTCTATTAGTGACTAGACCCACAAACGTCATGTATTACAACAGAATTCCAAATTTTAACAATATTAATTTAAAAAATATTCATTTTAGTAATGTATGCCAACCATCAGTAGCTGGTTTCAAGTCAAGCTTACACAATTCAACCTCTAAATCAGGTTAATGATCAGCGTTGCATTTAAGCAGTCAAACATGTACATCAAATAATTTCCTCTTTTTGTTTAGATGTGAATGAGTGTGATGACCCTCAAATGTGCAGTGGAGGTCACTGTACCAACACCATTGGCTCCTTCAGCTGCTCCTGTCCCAGTGGCTCAGAGCTAGTGTTCGGGACATCATGCCAAGGTAAAAACACTTAATCCTGTCCAGACACCCACCAAGACTCACAAAACTCAACAGTGGTGACCTGCTTCCTGGCAATGACCTCATGTTGGCAGCTGTGTGCTTCTCTGTGTCCCAGATATCGATGAGTGTTCACGGATCATTGGGTTGTGTGGAGAGGGGCGCTGTCAGAACACGCCCGGGTCCTACGTCTGCCTGTGTCCTGATGGATATACCACCGTGGACGGCAGAAGCGGCTGCCAGGGTAAAGTATAATAATACCACACAGCACCCGGAACGGCGATGCCAGTAGAAAAACATCATTTAAATAATTTTTGTATTTGCTGTAATTGGATGAGGCAAGCCTGTGAGTGAGAGATACTTCTATAAATGTAATGTATTTGGGTAATGGTACAAATAGACAGGAAATGAGAAGCCTGGAATGATGCTGGTTAAGTTCTCCAGTCAAGCGTCACATTATGAAGTCAATAACACAGATTATCTCTTCATCATAGCACCTGCTAGCGGGTGGAATATAGTGGTAGGATTTCAGTTTAACAAAGACCAATTGTTAGAGCTAAGCCACTATTTATTTCCAAAATTGCAGCTCTGAGGTCTTGTTTTCCAGCCTAACAATTTCAAGTGGATGTCCTTATAAACTTGAACATGCCGTACAGTTGTTTATTCTTTATACAGTACCCACATTTTTTATTTGACATCTCAGAAGTTTGAGAGGAAAATTTGCAATTAGACCTATCCTCGAGCAAAGACACGCAATCTTACTGCATCTCTTAAACATTAACACTGTATTTTTAATATTTTTATTCAAACGTACCCCAACCTCATGAAAATACAAATGACATCATACTATAACAAATGTCATGGTAGTCATAATAATACCAACCGTGGCAGGGCTTGTTGACGTTCACCATGCAAGAATCACGCACACGTCTCTCTGTCCATCCAGGTTTTCAGTGCTCCGTGTCACCTTTGACCCCTGGCAGGAGCGCCCAGCCTTTCTGTGTAATGGTCCATGTCCTAATCCACTGTCTCATCTCACTCTCCCTCAGTTTGATGTTATTCCAGCCGCACCCTGTGACCCAATAGTCATAGCTCCATAAAAAGTCTCGTCATGTATAAAAGCATTTTCCCCAAAGAAGCCAGGGCATTTTCTGTCAAAATATATGAAACAAGTGAGCTAAGATGTCAGGACCTCATCTGTGTGTTTTTCTTCTGGTGTGTCTTGTAAGAGGTGAACAGAGTAGTTTGTCACGATACATAAGGAATAGACTCGATACTCAATACTCATGCCGATACCACAATGATAATATAAAAAAAACACTCTTCTCTCTCTCTCTCTTAGAGTGTGATTGGCAGCATTAAATAATAGTACTTTCTTTTGTATTACCATGTGAATCTTACATCTGTGTAATCCCTAGGGATGTAACAACAGCCAAAATATTGTGACATCGTATCGTCAAAGTTCTCACAATAATATCGTGGACTATCACAGTATATGAAATGACAAATCTCTTTGCTTAAATTGAGAGTTATGGACAAGACAGAGGGAAGCTACATAGACCATGATCCTTTGCTCTATTTCCATGTAGACTACATGAAGAAATAACAGTTCTAAGCACATTTAAGTCTTAGTTCTTTGGATTAAGTCTTGGATTAAGTCTTGTCGAGGCATTTTAAGAGAAAAAAGTAGCATATGAAGAGTTTTGTTAGCCTCCACAAAATATCACAATAAAAATCGCACCATGAGATATATATCATGAAAACCAAGATATTTGGATATTGTTACATCCCTAATCGTGAGCCTCCCCACCATATCATGAGTTTCCCATGATAACGCAATAAATATTGTACCATGAGGTTCATACCGTGAAGATATCATGAGACTTGGATATCGTTACACCCGTAGTAATCCCTAAGTGGTCCAGGTATGTTCCATAGTGGTCCATGTGTGTATACTTGTCAATGGGGTGTTATACTACTTACTCAAAAGACTGTCTAGTTTCGATTAGTTTTAGTATAGATTAGAATCAGATTTTCAATACTTTTGACAGGCCTAGAACAGAGACAATGACAAAATGTTTCACTGCTCACTCCATGATGTGATGTTAAGCAGATTCCAAGCCTTTGTTGCAATGGCACTGTAACAGGTGACAGACTAAGGGCACTGTTTGCTCTGCAGTGTAGGACCTGAAGCTGCAGTTAGCCTCTCTAGTGTGCCCAGGCTGCATCAGGTACTCTGGCCAGCTGCCATTACAAATACAGACCGCTAATTATCCTATAAATCAACATTTGTCACACATTTTCTTGCAGTCTGCCATTGTGTCTGCTTCTCTGACACAAGAAAAGCCAGATCCCTTTTACATGGGTACAAGGGCATGTGAGTTTACTCTGGTGACAGTCCTGTGAGATAAAAAACAGCCTGCTACAAAGTACATTAAATATTTTTGTATACATTTAAAAATACTTTAAAGTAACATTTTGCAAGGATTTGTTTTTTTTACTGTATTCGTTAAAGGTCCTATATTACACCAAATTGACTCTTAAAAGATTTAAGCTACGGGGGAATGGGAATGTTGTTACCTCATCAAAAACATACCTGCAGTTGTGTTTTGTTTCATTCACGCATGTTGGAGTAACCCCTTATTATTACTCTGTCTACATCTCCCAAGCCCAAAGTTAATAGCTACCTTTTACCTTATGCTTTGTACATATTGGAAATTTCAGGTCTGGACTCATCCATATGATTCCGGTGAAGGCATATGGACCTTAAAAAGTACTCCTTAGTTTGTGACATTTCTTAAAACTGTAAAATAAAATAAAAAGTTATAAAGTCAGTCATTTTGAAGATCCAAAACCATCCTCTCACAGCATATTTATGTGTTTACTTATTGTTTGGAGTCATTTTTTTCTCTCTATGTTTCTACAAATGTTTGTCTATCTTTCTGTCTCCCAAAGATTCCAATTATCACAATCTGGAAAAGGAAGACAGGCTTTTCCTCTGCAATAATTTTTCCCTTACCTTTCAGCCATGGTCCAAGTACCTAACAAGCTTACATGTTGTAATGCTGCAATTATCCACAAGTAATTCACGGCTAATCAAGCATGTAGCATTCATTATTATATTTTACCATTCAAACGGAATGCTCTAATCCTGGGAAGCTGACGTACATACATTTTCCCTTTTTTGCTTCCTGTTTGTCAGTATACCATTAAATGCTTCAATTGGCCAGTGCGTCTTGTGTGCATGATTACCCATATTTACTGTTCCCCGTAGACTTAACAGATGCATCAAAATATACGGAGGTATTTAGTGATAATTAATATGTCTTAATCTCCCTTCCAATTATCTTTCCGCTTTTGTTTTTCTTACAGATGTGGACGAGTGCATTAAGGACGTGTGCATGAGGGGCCAGTGCCTCAACACCGTTGGTTCCTATTTGTGTTTGTGCAAAGCGGGATTCAAGTTCAACTCTGAGACAGCCGATTGTGAAGGTATAACAAGATATAACCTCTCCAGTGACATGTCTTTATATAATCATTTACCGCAAATACTGCTCTTGAGATTTCCACTTGTCAACTTTTACACTTTGATCGTCACGCTACATTTAGATTTGGTTGCTCATGATTGATTGTGCATTGCCTATGAGAGCTGTTGTCCAGCACAGGAGGTGTGCTGATCTGGTCTCCCAAAGGTGCTCTGAATGACCCCTTTGTGAGCAGGAGGTGTTGGGGTTTGTTCAGAGTCTCCCTTTGATTTCCTTTGCAGGTGCTGGGATTGCTGTCATAATATTGTTCTTGGTCATTTGTGTCGCTCACTGAAATTACAGAGAACTGTTATAACACAGGACTCCAGAGTGACTGTCGAGAACAAGTGTTGACTAGGCTGCAAAACGTTACGAAAATAAAACAAGAATAGCAGTATTTACGTTACATATTGTGTTTGACATCCCGTAATAATTATTTCACTCATCAGTTAATATTTTACCAAACATAGACAAATGATAGGGACTGTATGCTGTTGTATAGTTTATTATATAGATACATTTAGCCACATCAGCTACAGATAAATAAAGGGTGAGATTTTTTTGTAGAGCATAGACACTAGCGGTAAGAGGAGATAGAGAGGCTGTGGTGGCTGATAGGTCTGCTGCTGCGTTTGAGATGAAGCAAAGGGGAACTGCAGATGATGAGTGCATTTATAGAAAAGGCTTGAGAAGAAAGGATTGTGATTGACTGATTGTAACTTCCAGGAGGTTGGAGAGAAGGAAATTAAGTATTTTTAGTTGGATGTATATTTAGGCTGAGTTCTTTTCTCAAATAGAAAACATTTTGTTCCACCTTGTGATGTCATGTGGTAATACAGGAAGCGTCTACAGTGTTTTTAAATCCTATACACCTTCACTAGAATCATTTGGATAATTTCAGCTCTGGAATTGCCAATCATTTCTAAACAGAAGATAAAACTTAAGCTGTTAACATTGAAAACTAGAGCTTTATGCCATCATAAGGCAGAACAGAGCATTTTGAGCTTTAGAGATGTAACACAAAACTAGTGTGGATGTCAAAAATGTCCTAACCCTCACTTCTTTCCCACAGATCAAAATGAGTGCACTGATTTTGGAAGTTCCCCTTGTGGTACTTGGCGCTGTGAGAACACAATAGGATCCTACCGGTGCTTCCAGACCTGCCAGCCTGGTGTGAACAGGGATGATGCCACAGACTGCGGTGAGGGGTTTCTTACTATTATGAGTATTTCAGGTAAGATGTCTGGGAAATTATGCAGTTTTTATGCTCATTTGATATCACACAAAACACAACACCATTGTTCCAAACCAGGAAGCTTATCAGAAGTATAAGAGAGAGTGTAAGCACAGACCAAACCAGTGTTCAGTGTGTTGTAAATGCTATCCTTTAATATTTATTTGAATTCATTATCACTGTACCTGATTTAATTATAGATAAAGTGTGTTAGTCCAAATTCCTACTTTGCGTTCCTTCCTCACAATCAGTTTGGCACAAAAACCATATCAAAAGCACACAGGGAACCACGGGGGAGACACGCAGAAGTGGCCGTGAAATGAGAGCACTTTACTGAGTGAATTGCACCGTCATCTGGAGCCATGTGAGAGGCCTGTGCTGATAACCAAAGTTACATCAATTTTTCTGCCAACACAAAGAGCTTCTGGCAGAGACACGATCTGTAACATGATCAGCACCGCGTCAAGCCAGTGGAGAAGGTCCCTTAACTCCCTGTATCCTTAAGGAGCTGTCCAGTCACCTGTGTGCAGGGATTATACATCTGGAACGACCACATGCCAAAAACAACAACAGCTACATCTCCACTGTGTTCTGAATGCGTTTATTGGCTGAATTAAACACCTAGGGTTTCCAATATGTAATAGTTTATTGCTCAATGATCGCTCTTGTTTTGCCTTGCTTGGCTGTGTTGTTCTTACCATAAACCCAGGACAGAGCAGTTTATGGGTACTATGGGAGATAAGCAGCAAATGCAAATATTTGACTCACATTATTCTTTGTCCAAAAAGTCATGGACTGATCGGCTAAAAGGGAAAGGATGACCGTTCTCATCATGGTGTGTTGGACAGCACATGGTCGCTTGAGTTTGGGGGTGGCTTTGTGTTCCTGCATGACTCCTCTGGCTTTGGACCCTTTTATGAGACAGTCCACATGACGGGAGCCTCCACCAGCAACAAACCCACCCTGTGCTGACCTCAGCCCAGTGTGGCCCACTCCTCACCGCTTTTATGATGCTGTCTGTCTGGCACCAGGGTCTGCAGTCTGATAAGAACCAGCTGGTCGCCTCCTCCTCTTTTTATAGTAACATATGATATAAGGCTGAACATCTCACAATACACAATGACTATGTTGAATATTGTGGTAGCAATATGACTCGCTCAATTGTCCCTCTGACAACTATCAAATGAATCAAATTCCCTAAACTGAAAACGCATACAAATCAGGATTAAGCTAGGTCATACCACAGGCAAACAAGGATCATTCTGAGGTTCTAACTGGCCATGCAAGTCATTCTTTGTTGTGTTTAGTTGGTTTTCTTTTGACATGCTTAGAACTAACTAGCTTTTGATAAAAGCCATTTACTGTCACTTCCTTTTGCATTTCAAAAATAGTTCATAATCTTACACATTGGGTTTCTTACTGTGGTCAGTGAAAAGTGACGAATCAAAAATATTTCCTAACCTAGACAATAGCAATAGCTGGACGACTGAGTGATTACACAAACTAGCTTGGATGACCTAACTTGAGTTCTTTTTATATAAAGTTCAAATTAAAGTGAGTTCCCTCTTGGTGAGTCAAGATCAAAACAAGTTCATATTTTTATACTTCCCAAACTCCCTAGTTCACATATTGCTCAATATGAGTTATCTTTTTGAGTTGTGATGATGTTTATCCTGTTTGACCATGTCTCCCTTGTTGCCATGTTGTGTTGCCAGCTGAGCGTGTTTTCAGACCTGCTCACATTGACTCATACTCTTAAACCGGCCCTTGAGAAGCGAGCTGTGTGCGCCCCAGAAGCCCCAGCGCTGCACACAATGGTGGCTTGTTTCACCTCACGATGGGAAGTTGTGGGAGATGCTGCCGTCACCTCAATAAATGTCCAGAGAGGCAGCTCAATTACTCCAGGGCATTTTTGTCTGCTTGTAAAAATCATCAGATATTTAAGTGGAGGCCAGACGCTGTAATTTGCAGTTTCAGTGCGGGGCGTTGTTTTATTTTTACTCGCTGGCTGTCAGAGGGGCAGCGGTTGTCTTTGGCTCACATTGCAGCACTCATTAAGATTTAGGGACTATAATACAAAAGGGAAAAAACAGAGTGTTTTCCATCTCGGCATCTTGGAGTTCACCGCTGCACCATGCTACCAGGCCATACAATGTGTAGTATTAGTATTAGTAGTAGTAGTAGTAGTAGTACCAGAAGGTTATATAAAGTGCACTTGCAACGTATGTTTTAAAGCCTGAGTTCTCCATATTTCTCATAAATGCTCTTGAGTTATTCCATGTCTTTAAAAAGCAAGGCGGAAATTGTGTTGTGGTCAGGCCTCCACCAACCTTCCACCCCAGTAAATGTGTAGCAACATGAACACTTTACCATGTGCATATCGGATGTTTTTGTCTAGCCATCTAGTGTGTTACTTGTCAGCTTGAGGGAAAGACGATATGACGAGTTGTAGATCTAACTGAAGACAAAATGCATGCCCTGAATAGCTACACTTCATCTCATACTTGCCCCCTGGTGTGAAAGATCTCCCACATATGGGTCCAATCAGACAAGGGGTTGCCCGATGAGCAGAGAAGGTGCGTGGGCCGACAAAGACTACTCAACAGTCACTAGTCATTCTGATTGTTTGATGCAGTAGATTCTCAGCACTATCATGAGGTTTTAAACCTTACTCTTCTTTATAAAGTGAGTTCTTACATGTCAAGTTGTTTGATTTATTTGTCTGAAATAAATGCTTGTTAGGTTTATTTTTTCTTACCTAATACATTTACAAGATGGTTTCAGGTTTATGGTGCTGGCAAGTTGCTGGTACAAGTATGTTGATGCATAAATACATTGGCTTTATTATTATTATTCTTAAAATAAGAAAAAAATTTTAATTAAATAATTTTTACCACATTTTAATTCCTCTTCCTCTCTGGGATGATACCGCGATTGCTTTGCCCGTTGTCTTTTTGAGCATATGTTTTTCAGCAGATTGGGTTCCTCGCTACACATGGCCGCACACTGATAATTTCTTATACAAAGGCTTTCATCGCCTTCCCCTCAGACCTCCCAGCTGGACTTTACTGTCATTCCAGCATTCCACTTAAGCTCTTTACACTTGAGTCCCTCTCACGCTGATAAACCGGAGTCTCATTGAACTCCTATTTCCAAATCATGTCATTTCTTTCATATTTGCTCTATCTCTGCAGATTCTTGGCACTCAAATCCATGAAATCTAAATCGTATGTGTTCCTCCTTTATCCTTTTGGAGTCATTCAAATCCATGTATATTTTATCTCTTTCCTTGTATTAAGTTGTACATTTAGGCTGTTTAGTCCTGGGCATTTTATTAGCTGGTGGGAGCCAGTCTGCGACCCCAGAGGCATGCAAAGGAGAAAGTGCCAAGCCGAGACAGGAACGCTGACAGCTGCGGAGAAGGCCTTAGTTAGTTGTACACAGGAAGTAGCCAGTCTGTCCAAACTGTGGGCTAAAACTCCACAAGGTTTCTCTGGCCCTCAGCCCTCAAATTTGTAGCCAATGTCCTGTGGAAGTCCTTCTCCTACAGAGCTTGTGTTTCAATGTCTTTTTGGCAATTGAAAACGTTATGTAAAGATAAATATTAAATAAAGTTCCATGTGTAAGAAAATGGATAGTTCTAAGATTACTGTTAAGTATGGGTCAGTATGGAGTTTTTGAGGTGATCCTGATATCAGATATTTGGCCTGTTGCTGTGGTTGTTAACCGATATTTGCAGATACTGATTTATATATATTTTTAATCCATAGTAAGGCCCACAAATGTATCTTAAGTTGAAGATCACAAATAATAATAGCAAAATATATTTATCTGGAATATAAAATTATTCTTTACATGTTTGTTTAAACATACAGCCATATAATGTTCTTTTATTTCCATTCTGACTGATTAGTCTGTTCAAAAAGTTACACAGAATGGAGCAGTACCAAAAAAAAATCAGCCGATACAAGTATCAACAAATTGATATTGATATAGGCCAATACCAGTACTGGAACTGATATATTGCCTATCCCTAATTACTTCCTTGTTTATCCTGGGCCCAAGCCTGGATAAACGAGTGGGGTGAGTTGGTAAGGATTTTACATTATAAACAAAATCAATGTTGTTATTCTCAGAAGATGAAAAAAAGCCTTTAAACTATTAAATAATTCCTGCTTAAGCTTTCAATTTGGGTTTAAATCATGTTAATCCTGTTTCATCTGTACTAAGTCTTGGGTAGTTTAAAGATTATTTTACCTTGTAGCTTGATACAACACTTAATCAATAGCATTTTCAGTAGCATTCTCATATAAAACCAAAACTGTAATCTAGACCACTTTTAGTTGATGCCAGTTTTCATTCTGAATACAAATTTGGCACATTCCTTGTCTGGAGTCTCTTGTCAGGTCTGACGCGGCGCAATAATTTTCACTTCATAAATCTACTCTTTATAAATATTATTGTTGCCCCTGGATAATAAAACATTTTATACTTGTGGCACAGATGTGATTTCTGGATCCCATTCTAAACAGTAAACATGATCTGAATATAGCAAGTCATAAATAAAACCATTATACCAAGTGGTTACGTTTAGTGTTTGACATCTGTCTTTGAAACATCATTCGTCATTGCGTCATCTAAAATGGAGGGTGGTCATATGACAGCAGTTCTCAGTGATATGGCGCTTCAAAAATGACAAATGACAAGGCAGTCTGTCACAGTGTTTCAGATTTAATGGCTCGCAGCTCTGCCCCCGTCACATCTCACACTCTGGAGCCGAGCCACTTTCATCTATTGTTTGAACTGTAAGAAAATCTGCATGCTTTTTTAAAATAATACCCATTTGGTTGAGGCTCATTTTAACAGTATGTAGCCTCCAAAATACAGCAGAGAAATATGATCGGCTTGAAGAGTGAAATTCCACTTTCAATCCCCTGCTCTAGACAATGAGCAGATCAGCACTGATGGATTGTAATGTGTTATGTTTTAACCTAATCTTTTATATACAAATGCCATTTTTTGTGTGACTGACATACAAAAGCAAAGAATTTCTGTTTGAATAATTACTCAGTGGGCAAATACAGCCACATTTCAATTACCCCATAACCTTCATCGATGGTTCACTGGTTGGCCAGTCCATTGACAGTATGATTCAGAAGGTCATGGGGGTGATCATCTTAAATTCAAATGTCAGTCATGAACCAAGTCTAGCCAGTATAACTTTACCATTATGAATCATGGCCATCTTTATATTGGGAAAAATAATAATGAATGATTAATGAAGTAGTGTTAAAATTTCAAACTCGATTTCAATACTAAGCACTCAATACTCCGATTCCAATAACACAATGATAATAAAAAATACTTTCTTTAGAGCACAGAATGTGATATTCAACATTAAATAATAGGGATGTAACAATAACCGAAATATTGTGATATCGTATCATCAAAGTTCTCAAAATAATATCGTGGACCATCACAATATATCGACGAAGTCTCTTTGCTTAAATTAAGAGTTATGGTGCAGCAATAACAAAACAAAAAAAAAAAAACAGAGGGAACTACATAGAATAGACCATGATCCTTTGCTTCATTTCAGTGTAGACTACATGAAGAAACAGTGTGCGCCCCTGAAGCCCCAGCTTCCCAGAAGAAACAGAACAGTTTTAAGCACTTTTAAGTCTTAGTTCTTTGGATTAAGTTTTGTCAAGGCATTTTAAGAGGAAAAAGTTGCATATTAGTCTCCACAAAATATTGCAATAAATATCGTACCATGAGATGTATATCGTGAAAATATTAGAAATTTGGATATCTTTACATCCATAATCGTGAGCCTCCCCACTATATTGTGAGCTTTCCCATGATATATATATATAAATATATATAATAATAATATAATAAATATCATACCATGAGGTTCATACCATGATGATATTGTATCATGAGATTTGGATATTATCACACCCCTATTAAATAATAGTACTTTCTTTTATATTACCATGTGGTGTTATATCTGTGTAATCTTTCAGGCGTCCAGGTATGTTCCATAGTGGTCTATGGGCGTATACTAGTTTATGTGGTCTTATAAATGTTCTGGTACAGATCAAGATCATTCTAAAGCTGTTCAGGAAAGGTTCATTTCTGTTTTTTGATGTGAATTTTTTTAGTATTGATTAGTTTCTGATTTTCCGTACTTAATGTAGTGTATAGGCTTAACATTGCAAATCCCATAATGAATCAATTTAATAATGATTGAAATAATATTAATACAATGTGTTTCCTAATATCTTGCTTCTCATGTTTTGCTATGAGTGCATTGTGTTGTTTTAGTGGAGTCACAATTATCGAGTTGTTGGTTTTGGAAGTGGAATTGTGCGTTTCCTAAGCAGCTTAGCGTAACTGTTATGATGACATTCACCTCTTATGAACATATTTTATTTCTGCAGATATCGACGAGTGCCTCAATGAAACCATCTGTGGGAACAGCGGCGTGTGCGAGAACACGGACGGCTCCTTCCACTGCCAGTGTGACCGAGGCTACACCAACCCCCCTGGAGACATGACCAGATGTGTGGGTAGGTGCCTGCTGACAATACATGCTCACCTCCACAGGCTATTACTAACGTTTATATACACTGGCTATTATCAGTGTGTTCAAGTCCTGTTTGTGTTATTGTAGGACTCAGCAATAAGTAATAATTGTCCTACTTAGCAGTAATGTTGACCATACTCACTGAAGCAAGTATCAATACTGGAAAGAAAAAAATCACAACTAGATAAAATTTGACCTTTCCTGAACAGTTTAATCTTGAGTTTTTTGGGTTTTTTTCATCATAACACTATTACCTTATGAGATACAAAGATAAAATAGCCATAGTCATGTGTGAGGACAGTGCTAGTGTCAGTTAAGCATTTACCATAAATTTTATTACCACCTAATTTCACGCCTCTTTGGTGCTAATTTGGAGGTCATTTGGTTGTCACCTGTTGCCATGGAATTGTGACCTCTCCCTGACCTCTGTGTTCATGTACGTGCCTGGTATTGCCCTGACCCCCTGCTATCCCTTCTTTCTCAGATGTGAACGAATGTGAGATGAGCGAGGCGTTGTGTGGGGAGGCCCTCTGTGAGAACCACGACGGCAGCTTCCTGTGCTTCTGCCCCAACGCCAATGAGGAATTTGATCCCAAAAGCAGCCAGTGCCGCCCTGTCGGTAAGAGCCCGGGAATCACGGCCGCCGTCCGTTCCGCCGCTCCGACACCCAGTTTTCCCTGATTTAATGAGCCGTCTGTCATTATGCAAACACTGAGGGTGACGAGGTGGATACGGCTAAACCCCACCTTTGTCCAGGGGATCTCTTGACCTGGCTGTTTCCATTCCAGGCTGATGCTATGACTGGGTGGACTGCCTCCAAAAATTGGCCTAATCCTTCAGGATAATAATAAAGTGAATACTGTATTGGAGCTTGCCAAATAGCCCCCGGGTGCATAAACCTATTTCCAGTAAGACAAACACAGAAGGTGTACCAGTAGGCACTTAGTGGACACCATTAGCCCATCCTTTGTGTCGTATTAGGTGCCCATGAGAATGTAAGCGTTTGTTACAGAGATATTCATTCATGGAACCCCACAATGTGTGCTGTGCGATAGGCGTATGTATGTGTACACAAATTGGGTCTATTTACATTATTAAGCGGCGCTCCCTCACTGGGGATGTTTTTCCTTCTGCCTGGCCACTAAACCCCAGCTATGCCTTTGTGTAGCTTTTTGCCACATTCCACTGTTTGCTTTTGACGTGTGTTAATCAATCATGTGAGAGTGAATGGTGTGTTGACTCACATGCCAGTGTTTCCATTTGGCTAAGCCAGCAGCTTAAGGGTGAGATGCCTGAGCCCATGCCTCTGGGTGAATGAGCGCACTCAGCAGTGCCATAGCCAAGGCACTACCTGCTCAAGGCATGCACCCACTGTAACCAGTAACCACTACCATGGAGTCAGCAACTATATACAATTAATGTTTTTATTAGTAAAAATAAAAAAAAATTATAATAACATCTTGTTATATGACCACTATCCCACTGTAACTTCTTGCTATTTCTTACAGATGATATGGTGGTCACACCTGCTGCTCCTCTTCCTCCTTCTGTTTCTGCATCTGAAGAGAGGAAAGAGTGCTACTACAATCTGAATGATGCCAACTTTTGTGATAATGTGTTGTCCCGAAACGTGACCAAACAGGAGTGCTGCTGCACGGTGGGAGCAGGCTGGGGGGACAACTGTGAGATCCACGCCTGCCCAGTCCTGGGGAGAGGTATGACATAGACTTGTATTATTTACCTAGTAAATTACAAGTTAAAGGTATCATAACCGACAATACAGAGCGATAGTGTAATAGAAGAAGTAGTTTAGTCATAATTTATCAAATGTGGAGCTATTATCGTCGCTCTCCCTGACATGGCCCTTTTTTTTTCAGATGACTATAACCAGCTGTGCCCTCATGGCAACGGACTGTTATCTGTGCCAGCCTCAAACTTACAAGCTCTGGGAGACCAGCGCTCCTATATAGGTACTCATCACTTCTCTCTGATGTACATTTAGGAAACTACTGCCTTCTTTGCACATAAACTGTACATCAGCACTTCTATTCTTTGCACAGACTTTAAACATGACTGTACGTTAAACTCTTGTCAAACAGATGCCAACGAATGTGAAATGTTTGGACCAGACATCTGTAAGAACGGACAGTGCTCCAATCTGTTTTCAAGCTATACCTGCTACTGTCGCTCCGGCTTCTACTACGACAACATCCGCCTGGAGTGTGTGGGTAAGGAAAGGCCCCCCGAGCTCCAATAACATTTTCCCCAAACACAATGAAATATGAATGTTTATGTTGTAATATTTGTGCAGATTATGATGAGTGCGAGCTGGGAAATGCGTGTGTGGACGGAGTATGTGTCAACACTGCCGGCTCTTTCAACTGTTTTTGTAGTCCTCCATTAGTGCTCGACAACACGCGGCGCCGCTGTATAAGCCTCAACACCACAGGTTAGCTGCACACACTAACACATATTTATAAATAAAAGTAAACAAATAGAACAAGTTGAGTCACTTCTGCTCTACATATGAGTCCCAGTTCTGGTCATGCTTGGCAGTAGGGTTGTACAATTAATCAAATTTTAACAGAGGTTTGGTCATCACTAATTGTCAATGATCAGCTTGGGACTTTTTAATGGAGGTCTACAGCCAATCCTGTCAGTAAAAGCATGTGGTTTGGAGCAGAGGTCATTATTAAAAGCCTGTCTTGTTTATTTTCAGGAAATGAATATTGATTGAATTTATTTGTATTTAATAAGACAAAATCTAATACAAAATTCTGATCAATATGAGAAAAATATGTGATTGTTATTTTACTCAGCAGTTTGATATAATGATGTAAGTGTTTTGTTGTAGAAATTGCTGAGCCTGACCATGACGTGCACATGGACATCTGCTGGCAACGTTTGGAAGGAGACAACGTGTGCTCAGAACCGCTGCAGGGACAGAGGACCACGTACACCGAGTGCTGCTGCCTGCACGGGGTGGCCTGGAGTGGGCAGTGTGCCTTCTGCCCCAGGAAAGACTCCGGTAAGAACTACTTGTCATAGAGTTGTCAAAAGTATCGAAAACCAGATATTAACCGGTACTAAAACTAGTATCGAAACTAGATACATTTGAACAAATCTCCATACTAAAAAAGTCACTTTTACAGGACAGAAATGAACTTTTCCTGAATAGCTTTAGAATGATCTTGAGCTGTATCAGAGCAAGTTCACATAGACTAGTATACGCTCAAGGACCACTATGGCATCTACCTGGACGACTGAGTGATTGCACAGCTGTAAGGCCACATGGTAATATAAAAGAAAGTACTATGATTTAATGTTGAAAATGGCTTTCAGTGTTTCTCATTATCACTGAGGTATCGACATCAGTATTGAGTCTATTCCTTAGTAGGTTATGTTCACATGACATCACAAAATACTAAAATTCCTTCAGTACAGGGGGCAGGTCAGGATTCTTTGCTGGAATTTTCTGTTTAAATGTCTGATTGCAGATTTGTTGACCTGGTTCATGGCCAATATCTCTGTAATTATGGAGTCTATCAATGTGAAACAAAAACTGGCACAAAGTTCAACGTCTTCTCTGTTAGCATAAATAACCAAAGGGAACTAGTGGTGCCATTATTCAACACCAAAAATGTGATAGTGTCAGTTGAAAGGACTTTATGTTTGTGGAGCCAATTCATAACAAATGGTAATAAGGTTCAGTGTATGTGGATTTCTGGATTGTTTGAATATTTCTTAGTGAAATAGTGAATGTCTCTTAGAGTTATGTGAACCCCGGCCCTCCTCCCTCACCACAACTGATTCAAACCGATGTGTCTTGTGTATTTAGAGGACTACGCCATAATGTGCAACCTGCCGCGGAGAGGAGGTTCCGACAGTCTGAGAGAGCGCCCTGGTTATGAATATGGGGTAGACGGACCAGACGATGATACAGAGCCTTTCATACCACCGTACTGGGACAACTACGGAAACCTGCCAGGTACATTTGAAGTACCTGATAGCGTTCCTCTCTTCAATGACAACGACTACAGCGCCAGACAGCCTCCGGTCAGGGTTCCAGTTCACCGGCCCAGAGAGCAACCGCCAAGACCAGTGGACTTTACTGGTGAGCATCTTCTTCATGCATAAATATTACATTTTCTTTTATTTATACAGGGAGAGCCGAATGAGAGTACCAGACTCTTTTTCCTGAGCACCCTGTCAATACAAATAAAACAAACTGCATATGTCAATTTAAAACATTAAAACAGGTGCAAGTGTGGTTATAAATGTTTATCACCAGTTTATTAAAATGCAGAAGTGGTGCCAACGTATCCAGTTTTGTTCTTGAAATGTTCCAGTCCAACTTAATTTTAAACACATTTTTAAACAAGACTGAAACCAATTATACAAAAAGTCACATTTTGAAAACCTTTTAATTGGCTTATGCATTTGCTTGAGGCTCTCCATCCACAGCCACATTTCAAATAGAACTGATGAACTGGTACAGGGGAATAAGGAATTGGGTGATTGGAGGTACAGGTACACTTCAAACGCCGCCCCCTACACCTGACTGTAATTAGGACAGTCTTGTGTGATGTCACCAAGCACTTCACCCCAAAAAAGCACTAGGAACAGTAGATAATACTATACAAACAGCATGTACACAGTTTAGTTATTGAATATTAACAAATCCTATGATGTTTTTCTACAGAGCGGTATGAAGGTTTTGAAGGACTCAGGGCAGAAGAATGTGGTGTTTTAAACGGCTGTGAAAATGGCCGCTGTGTCCGGGTGAGGGAAGGCTACACCTGCGACTGCTTTGACGGTTATGAACTTGACTTGAACAAGATGGCTTGTATTGGTGAGTTCTCACAAACGGTCCAGTGCAAAATCAGTTACAGCCCTCAGAAATGATTTGCTTTTACTTGATCTTACATGACTTTTAGATCAACCACAGTGAACTCTTTGCTGTGGTTTTTAGTGCGTTGGCCAATGGAGTTCTAACACACTAAATCATCCGGCTCAGGGCAGGGCTTAACATCCTTGCATTAGACTATGTTTTATTGGAAACTAATGAAAGCAATGTAACTCCTCAAAACCACTAACTTAACTTTTGGCCAGAGTTTACCTCCTTCAGATCTGCCAAGGAACGAAGGCCTTGAATTAGAGCCATCGGTCAATTACTAAAGCTGTAATGTCTTTAAGTGTGTTGTTTGTTTTGTAGGAACGTGAGACTCTCTGTCATAATGAAATGCTATGATTACAATAGTCTGTTGGAACACGACTTATCAGCTTCGAGGTCAGACGGTTCCCCCCAAAAATCTGACTATGGAAACATGTGGGAGCTGTGCGGGCCATGCCATGCCTGCTTGTAAAAATATCACCACCAGCATTTTCGTCAGCCGAACATGATATAAACAAAGAGGAGGCCATTGCAGATACACTCTTATAAAATGACAATCAGACCTCCCATGCTGTAAAAGCCAAAGATAATTCTCTCCAAGGCCAAAACAGAAACAGAATATTTGACTTTATGCTTATGGATCTCATTTAGCACAATTCAGGTCGGTCGCAAATTCAGATGGTGAGATTGTAGCCAGCTAACACGCAAAATGACGGCATCTGCAATTTAAGTAAATGGATGAGATATAAAAAGTAGTACCAATAAAAGTGTTTGTTATGGAAAGGCTGCTGGCCCGCAAGACAAGGCCACAAGTGCTTTTTGAATTCTCAAAGTTTATACAAAACAACAACAACCATGGTCTGATTATACTCGTGATTTAAGGTTATCTAAGGGCACATATCCGCCAGAATACATAAGGTCAGCGTGACAGATGTCCAGACAGCTGTTCTGACCAACTCTGTTTCTGCGCAGACATAAACGAGTGTGAGGACATCAGCGACAAGGTGCCTCTGTGCCAGAACGGACTGTGCTCCAACACTGAGGGCTCGTACAAGTGCACCTGTCTGCCCGGCTTCGTGGCGTCTGCCCAACCCCACAAATGTATCCCCGCCATCCCCGCGAGACCCACAGCCACAGACAAGAGGAAAGACAGTGACTGAGGAGGGCCTTCTGCTGCTTCAGAGACTATACAGCACTAAACTACAGCAATGCAGAGACATCCCTAACCGCCTCCCCTTCATAGCACACACATGAATAGCACTCTGGTTAAACTAAACTTAACACTGAAAGTTTCACGTGCGCTAGGCTTCGTCACATTTCTATTGCCTTAAAGGGATTCTGTGGACTGTCTGTTTTCTACAACTCTAGGTCACCATATTGACAATGTTTCCTGTTCTTTGCCTGCTTATTTATTATTTTGTTCTGACGGGCCTCTGCAAACTAAGATTTCAGATGGCATACGTTACACCTCTTTTCTGACCACAACATTTCAAATGTATTGTATCTGTACCGAACTGAGGTAAATGTATTGTGGAAGAGCCCAGCCAATACAGCTCCAGAGTCATTATAAATACAGTATAATATTTATAAAGTGAATGATCAAGTTAATACAAGGGCCAATAAATGTAAAGTGATGCCACAGTTGCCTGTAAGACATATGCACATCTGGACAATGAACACAGAAGACACTTCCTTTCGTGGTGTGTGACTAAAAGATTGTAAATGTATTATGGTCTAAATTATGTTTTTGTGTGACTCAAGGCAAACTGAGTGAGTACTCATCTGGTCCATGTATTTATCTTTTTCAGTATTTTTCTATAAAGAAATCAATCTTTGCAGTATTCCCATGTTTCCATGCACTTGTTTCAGTTTTCACTGCAGTAAAACACATTTGGATCATACCAGCCCATTTCTATTTGTGCATTTCTAATCACAGAAAAAGGTTTGATAATTTTTGTACAGTTGTAGCACTATGTATTATTTTTGTTACATATTCTTGTAATGCATTATAGTTCAACCAGTATTTTGTTATCATACATAACATATATGTAGATGTATACATGTTTGTACAAATGTATCTGTAGTGTGAGGGGAGTGGCTGACACTGTACCAGAAGATGTATCCTGCCCTGTGGAGCAGACAATGAAATATATTTTTGGAAGTGACAGCACTGTTTGACAAACTTTTGCCTTTTGAAAGACTTTGAAATGCAAGCACAGGTGTGCAGCACAGCATTGGGACTAATGATTAGTGATTGAGCATTTCCACTCCATCATGAATGTATCTGTCACCCATCCTCTCTTTAGATGTGGGTATTTCATACTCAAGTGTGACATCCTGTGATACCTTTGGACATTGCACCAACAGATTAACATACATATATTATATCAGCAGTCTTTTATAAAAGTACATGTTTCAACTCATTAACATTGCATTTTAAGTCTCATTTTAGTGGTAAATCTATGGTCAAAATATGCTCTTTAATTTTGTTTACCTGTTGACTGTCATGTTTTTTCAGTCATCAAAATAAAAAAAGATATGCTTAAATGTTGTGGAAATTATTTTGAGACATCATGTTCAAAAGAATCCATATGGATGCTGTGCATGTTCAGCAGAGGGTTGTTACCCTGAATAGCTTCATGTCTTATAGTTTATTAGCATGCATCGTAATTAATTTTATGTACTAAACTAGGACATTGTTACATGATGTTAGACTTATTGTATTTTAGATATACTACCGCCGCCCTCTAGTGGATAAGAATAAACTTCACACTCACGCTCATTTTTCCATAGCGTCCATGTTTTTCTCCAACGGGATTCTGGGGATTTGTGTTCCTTTTCACGGACCTCGCCTTTGCTCCTCTGTGCTCTGGCCTACAGCTCCCAGAAACCCCCTCGCGTTGTTGTACTCTGTCGTCCACTTCTGCTTGTGTCCAGTCCACTCATGCCGCCGCTGTGTTGCTGCTAATGAAGGTATTTCAGCCGTGGGATCTGGACCTGTATGGATAGATGCATGTGATCTTAGTAAATCTACACGTTTGTATCACGGATTTTGTTTACTTACCTTGCGTGTGTAGGTTTGTGTGCGTCACTGTTGCCCATTAAAATCCAGCTCAAACGTCAGTGATGACTGCAATGACAACATTTTAAACATTAGCTCGTTTTAATGCACAATGTGTAGTTTTCGTTTCTTTTGCATTGTTACGCTTTCTGGTGAAGACTATGCGACCTGTATTGCCTTATGGAGATGATACAGCTCTGCATGCTATGTTCCACAGTGTGGCATTATTCATCTCCATGGAAATAAATATGTGACATCACCAGGCCACGTGTCAGTGCGTTATTTTTGCAGCAATGAAACAATTGTAATTGAGTATGTTTACTGCTATACTGTGGAACACACCAGGCTTGACTAAATTTTAAGATATAAATACTTAAATCTATCAGAAAATGAAATAAAAGTAGTGAAATTATCTGTCCATGCAGCAAGATAATTTTACTTAACAAGTTATCTTAAAATAAACTACCTTTACACTAGAATTGAGCAGTCTCAGAACTAGTAAGTAGATAATAATTTGGAAAACAAGATGAATAACCTGATGTCCAGTCAGTTTTAAAATCTTGGCCAGATCAGAGAAATTTACAGTGTAACAACTCCATAAAAACAAGCTGGTGGCAGACCATGAGTAACATGGTGCATCTTTAAGTAACCTTTATATTTTTCACGTTTGTCAGCACCAAAGTAACCCTCGTCTTGGCTGGAGGAGGATCTGAACATTCCATAAAGAAGATTGTCTCCAATGGCAGAAGAATGTACCACTCTGAGCAAAAATCAAATGGACAATACATCACTGCGACTTCGGAAACACACAACCATCTTAAAACAAAACCCAGCCACACACTTCAAAACACGAGATGACACCCTGTCCTCAAATGGGATCTCCGGTGGGTGCTCAGACCTGTACAGAGGTCAGACATCCAGCAAAGTCCTTCTTCCTATGGTGGCGGGCATCTCCTTTTCCACACGCATGTACAAGATCTTGGAGCCTCCGCACGTGTGGTCAGTCAGATTATTACACTGTATGAACTTTAAAAACTACAAATGTATAATTCTAGGTATCATCATCGTCATCATTATCTGTTTTCCAGCTGGGATGAGACACACTTTGGCAAAATGGGAAGCTACTACATCAACAGGACTTTCTTCTTTGATGTGCATCCTCCTCTTGGGAAGGTACAAGGAAATATGCACATTTATAATCGTTTATGTGTTTGTTTTCATAGCAGGTTGCTGTTAATACTTGTATTTTACAGATGTTAATAGGTCTTGCTGGCTACATGACTGGATATGATGGTTCGTTTCCATTTGTGAAACCAGGAGATCGATATGAGCACCACAACTACTGGGGAATGAGAGGGGTAAGTTTGGTTGAGTGAAGGGGCTCAAATGTTTTAAACTATTAATAATTCTCACATTATCATATGGCATCATGTTTTTAACAATACTATTACAATACATATTCATCTTAAAGGTTTACTTTGTAACTTTTCTGGTCGAGGAATTGCTGCTTGCTTGTTTACATGGAGATAGAGATGGCTTTGCCTAAAATGTACCACAGATTACACATTAAATTTATCAGTCTAGACTTAGACAGACTTTATTGATGCACAAGGGAAATTATTTGGACACAGTAGCTCATACATCACAATATATTATAATGACAAAGAGTAAAAAATATAAATGGTAATAGTAAATTCTAAATAAGTAGACCTAATTATATAAATGTATGTGTACAAATCAAAATAAAATAGAAAAAATAAGTAATAAATGATAAATCTCAGCTGCATACAAGAGGTCATTAGCCTGATTCATCAGCCGGTTTCGCTTTGTAGAAACCATCTGACCTCGCAGATAGATTAGAATTCGTTTGCTCGACAGTAGGCAGGTACTTTTTTTCATTTAACCAGTCTCTGCTATTTGATCGTGACGTATATAATGTGCCGCGAACAGGGCTAACTGCTATATTAAGCTTTTTCCAAATCCCGTAGGAAGAAGGACAATAACGTCTTTCACCTTGATAAAATTCACCAAACATTCTATTTATTCCGGCTTTAAATCCTTGATCTCGAGAATCATTGCCAACACAGAATGTACAGCTCTTCACTGATTGGCTGGTGCCCAGACTCGCACTTCCGGAGTTTTTGCGAACCATCTAGTGTGTTCTGATTCCTGACGTAGTCACTGGAGAGAAATGGAATTGAGCGGAGGCGCTAGGTGGTGTCAGCCTAAGAGGTCATAGGAAAACAGTGCAACAATGGCATGATTATTGACAGGACATAGTGTTTTCTGTTACATAAGGGTGAGTCGTTGCACAGTTGTAGGGAGTATAGTATGAATGCAAGCAGTTGACACCACTAGGTCAAGTTACAGATCAGATCTGTGGAAAGGTGACCCCGCCCACAGTAAGAATGTTTTTCAAAAGGTGTTTTTATTTATTTATTTTTTATAAAAAATATGTTATCAAATAAATATAAGATAGATTTAAAGCTATATAATGGAAAATCAAAGCAATCACATCTCCATGGAGAAAAGCACGTAGCAGACCCTCCAGCAGACAAATTAAATAGTTAGAAGTTAAATTCTTGATTTCTGTGTATAAATATTCCCACAGTTCTGTGCTCTCCTCGGCTCGTTTCTCCCAATCTTTGCCTACCTCATTGTGCTGGAACTGTCCCGCTCCCAGACGGCTGCTCTCATCGCTGCGTCATTACTATTATTTGGTTGGTCATTTGTTTTTGGCACATTTTTGCGTGTATTTTCTGCTTCGTAAATATATTTCACACATGCTTTTACTCTGACAGACACTGGCTGCATCACTATCTCTCAGTACATTTTACTGGACCCTATCCTCATGTTTTTCATTATGGCAGCTGTGCTAAGTATGGTCAAGTTTCATCAGCAGGCACACTGGTAAGATAAGATTTTTTTTTTCATTTAAATGTAGCTTTTACTTCTAGACATTGTTTTGTTTTTTCTTTTCTTCAGTGCGTTCTCTGCTTCCTGGTGGCTGTGGCTGGTACTCACTGGGGTTAGTCTAGCCGGAGCTTTAGGAGTGAAATTTGTTGGTCTGTTTGTCATCACACTGGTGGGGTTTAACACAGTGTCTGACCTGTGGAGACTATTTGGAGACTTGAATTTATCCTTGGTAACTTTCATCATTATTTATTATTCATAAAGCAAATATAAAATCCTGTAAAAATGCGAATTAAATATATTTTCTGTTGCAGGTCGACATCACAAAGCACTTTGCAGCTCGTGTGTTTGGTCTCATTCTGCTGCCCCTTTTTCTTTACGTTACAATATTTGCAGTTCACTTTGTTGTTTTGAATAAAAGGTAAGGATTGTTTGCAGAACTGTTCTCGTCAAAGATAAATGACAATGGAGCTCAACAGTGACCGGCCACACCCCAGTTCTAGAAGTAAATTTCCCATTCATTTTTCCGTCAGACTTTTTGAAAAAAAAAAAAAACTAGAAAAGCACTCAGAGAGCGCAGACCTCCGCCAAGGACTACCCCCATTTTTTATATAAATTGCGATAAAATCAGTCTTCTGGATCAGATCCGGATCAGCCTTTGGAATATGAAAGAGGATCCCATTGTCCATCCCCGAGTCAAATTTCATGGGGTTTGGTCAATAATTAACCGAGATATTGAGAAACAAAATTTTTGGCCCCATTTACCACAATGTTAACTAAAATTTTGAAGTGATCCAGAATCCAGGATTTCTTCCGGATCACCCCCAAAATGAAATCAGTTCTTCCTTTTCACATTTCCAACAAATCCTGAAAATTTCATCAAAATCGGTACATAACTTTTTGAGTTATGTTGCTAACAGACAAACAAACAAACAGACAAACGCCGGCAAAAAACATAACCTCCTTGGTGGAGGTAATAATAATAATACTTAAAGTTTGAAAGCTTGCTGCAGCATAATCAGCTACGTGGTGGCTAATGAACACAAGACGACTAATTTGATCATGCTTTTGAGACTTAAAACAGTTGTGTTATGGTTATTAGTCACCACATAGCTGCTTAGCTTCTGCAGTGCCTTTGAACTCTTAATATTTGAATTTTCTAAAAAGTCTATTGGAAAAATGAATGGAAATTTTGCTTCCGAGACCAGGGTGGACTTCGGAGTTGGCGAGACTGTGGAGCTCCATTCATGTAATAGTAAAATAATTCTTTGATCTCTTTTACCAGTGGACCCGGGGATGGTTTCTTCAGCTCAGCTTTTCAGTCCCGTCTCATTGGGAACAATCTGCACAACGCATCTATGCCTGAATGTAAGTGTCAGACTTTGTTTACTCTTACTCTGCTTGTTTTTATGAAGGGAAAACATCTTAAAGTCTATGGTAATATGTTTATTTTTCTGACACAGACTTGGCATATGGCTCCACCATCACTATCAAAAACCTTCGGATCGCGGGGGGATACTTGCACTCTCACTGGCATTTATATCCAGAGGGGGTGGGGGCACGCCAGCAGCAGGTGAGTGTACAAAAAGGTAGACTAAAATCTCAAGTTTTTTTTTTCTCTCATAATTTGTATATTTGAATTTTTTTAGGTGACGGCGTATTTACACAAAGACTATAACAACTTATGGCTGGTTCATAAGCATGATTACAATAACAGTAAGATAGCTGAATTATCAATGGAAATATAAGTAGTAATATTTCTAGAGCTCAATGTTTTTTCTGCTTTCCTTTCAGCTCGTCGTGAGAAACCTGATCTGGTTCGTCATGGTGATATTATTCGCCTTGAGCATAAAGAGTAAGTATCCATGATTCATAGTTAAATACAATGAACTACTGTAAATACTATGTTCACATTCTTTTCATTTACAGAACAACTCGTAGTTTACACTGTCACCTCCATGAGGCACCTCTAACAAAGAAGCACTTCCAAGTTACAGGCTATGGCATGGTACGTATATTTGAATGACACATATCTTAAAAATAACGCATTAGCATTTTTGGGGGATTCTTTTTTCGAAATACCAACTAATAGGGTTAATAAGGTTAAAGGCCCTTGTACAGATATATTGTCATTGTCATTCTGTCATTTTTAATAGGGTTAAGCATTATAAGTACTTTTTACATCAACTTAAACCCTTTTGGTCATGATCCATGGTGTTGCAATATATGTTTTGTTTTGTTTTATTTTGTAGTGCTGCAAAATGACCAAATAAACTACTAAAAATTGTAAAAACAGCTCTAAAGGTTAAAATTAGACCGCTGTGTTCTGTCTGCATCTAATTCCGAAGTGTTTTTATCAGCTGCGAACCAGGAAATAACACTGGTACGCTAGTTTGTTAGAAGAGACATGACAGCTAGACTCCACTCGGACTGGTGTCTGTAGTGAAACGTGTTTATAAAACTCATTGCCGTGAATTATTAGGATGTTAGCTGCAAACCATTTAAAATTAAGTAGTTCTGTTTTTCATGTTTTTAAAGACAGTAAAAATCTGTTACATCTCCTTTACACCAATTATCTATTTGTGTAAAATATTTTTTTGTCTTTCACTATACGTTAACACTTGGATTAAGAAGTTGCCAATACGATACATACCTCAATACACAGGCCACAATACGATACATATCTCGATACAGTGCACTTTCGATTTGATACAATATATTTCAAAACAATTTGATACAGTTATATAAAAAAATAAAGACTAAATTATGGCTGTGATACTAAAAGTCTTTTTTAAACCACTTCTTGTGCAAATTTAATATGAAAAATGCCCATTTTACTCATCAAAACAGTGAATATGTCAGATGTACTGCATAAAATTGTCTCCTTTCTCTACACAAGCAACAAAACTATAGCGTTGTAACAAAATAATTTAGTAAAATACACAAAAAAATGCTTGATACTGCAGCCCATGATATCGATACGGTATCATCGCATTAAACAATTCGATATATCGATATTTGTTAACATGATCCTAGCTGTTTCTTTATCAATAGATGATTCAATGTTATTTTCGTCTCCTGTTTTAGAATGGCACTGGAGACAGCAATGACCTGTGGCAGATCCAGGTCTCAGGGGGGCGCCGTGGGGACCTGGTCAAAGTGCTGCGCAGCAAAATTCGTCTCCTTCATCGAGCCACTGGTTGTGTGCTCTATTCCTCGGGCAAGACACTTCCAAAATGGTACGTCATCATCATTTTGTTTGATTTAAATATCAAAAATTGCTTATACTGACTACTGTTTGAATGGTGTTTATTCAGGGGTTGGGAACAGGTGGAGGTGACATGTAGTCCATATCTGAAGGAGACGCCAAGTTCTCAGTGGAATATTGAAGATCATGTTAATTCTAAATGTGAGGGAAAATCTGCAACTTTTTAATGCTAATGTTCACTTTAAACTTTAAAACTCATATTTTTTCTTCACTTTCATCTGTCAGTGCCCAACATTAGTCTCTCCGTGCTGAAGCCACACTTTCTGGAGATCTTAATTGAGTCCCATATTGTCATGTTAAGAGTAAGATCAAGATATTTACAGATTCATACAATTTAAATACTTGTATAATAAATACACAACTTTTTTCCCAGGGTAACAGTGGTTTAAAGCCAAAAGACCATGAAATGAACTCCAAACCTTGGCACTGGCCCATCAACTATCAGGTTATACTATGCAAAATTTACTCTTGTCAGCTGGAGTTGTGTTTTGTTTTAGTCACACATGTCCAAGCAATCCTTTATTAATAGTCTGTCTACATCTCCAAAGCTCGAAATGCTCTGTTCCACGTTGTGAAGTTATGAAGTGGTAGTTTTCAAGTTAACAAACTATAGAAAGTTGTGATTCCACCTGAAACCCAGTATTAGGATTATAAACAATAAAATGTTGCCAGTAATCTATAGAAGCAAGGACTATATTTTATTGTATGTAATTGTGTTAACCTGATGGTGCAGATTTTTGTTATGCTTTCGAATCGTGCAGATGCATCATATTGTTGAAATACTGCTCTTCCACTAAAATTGCCCGAAGCATAAAACCGGTCTTTGAATCCCTAATAGCTACTGTCTCTACTATATTATGAAGCTACACAATTTGAAAGTATAAAACTACAATACACTCTTTTGATTTGGTTCAGGTTTTGGGAGTCTTCACACTTTTTGTTAACCTTTTACCTTTAGTTAAGTGGAGACTGGCAATTCTAGGGCTGAAAATATCCATATAATTGATATGAGAAGGCGTATGAAGTATGGAGAACAGAGTGGAGCACTTCCTGTTTTACCACATGTAATATCACATGTCACAGAGCAGAACAGAGTGTTTTCCATTAGAGAGATGAGCTCAGCCTAAATATGCAGGGTTTGTGTGTTTAAACGCGTTAATGAAACAAAACACAACTCTAGGTTTGTTTTTGATGAGGAAACAACATTAAAACATACTGTAGATCAGAAAATAGTATAATATGGGCCCTTTAAGTAACAATAATACTTAAATATTTTCTTCTTTTAGGGTTTAAGGTTTTCTGGAGTGAACAATACAGACTACCGCGTGTACCTGCTGGGAAATCCTGTATGTATATCAAGTGTTGGAGGTATTTCTTTCACAGGCCAGGGCAGTAATGTAATATTGTCCCACAGGTGGTCTGGTGGATTAACCTGGTCAGTTTGGCTCTCTATCTGCTAATGGTAGCAGTTGCCTCGGTAACAGTACAAAGAGGCTTTTCACTAGGCTCAAAGAGAAGAGGTACATTTTATAGTGGCGCCGTTATAATCCTTTATCATCGTATTTTAATGCAGTATTTTAATTTGTGTTTCAGAGCATCTCTATGTTCTTAAAAGTGGAGGAGGCCTGCTGCTTTTGGGCTGGGTACTACACTATGTACCTTTCTATGCCATGGGTCGTGTGCTCTACTACCATCATTACTTTCCTGCCATGCTCTTTAGCAGCATGCTCACAGGTAATCAAGACTTTTATGTGGTCACGTTGTCTAAATTGGAGGTTGTCAGACAGATTACACTGAATTTGCCATTAAATAACCAAAAGTAAATTCACCTTATTATTTTTTATTATTGCCGAGATTGTAGAACCCACTGTATTATAACGAAAATCTGTAAAATATTATTGGACTATAGAAAATTGTGATGCCACCTGAAACCCAGTATTAGGATTATAAACAATAAAATGTTGCCAGTAATCTATGGAAGCAAGGACTATATTTTATTGTACGTGACTGTATTAACTAGGGATGTAACAATAACCAAGATATCGTGATATCATATCGTCAGAGTTCTCACAATAATATCGAGGACCATCACAATATATCAAATTACAAGACTTCTTTACTTAAATTAAGAGTTATGGTGCAACAATAGCTAAAAAAATAAATAAAAAAAAGACAGAGAGAACTTCATAGGCCATGATTCTTTGCTCCATTACAGTGCAGACTACAAGAAGTAATAACTGTTCTAAGCAGTTTTAAGTCTTAGTTCTTTGGATTAAGTCTTATCAAGGCATTTAAATAAGAAAAAGTAGCATATTAACAGTTTGGTCAGGGTCCACAAAAAATTGCAATAAATATCGTACCGTGAGATGTATTTCAAGAAAACCGAGAGATTTGGATATTGTTACATCCCTAATCATGACCCTTCCACCATATCATGAGCTTTCCCACGATATCGCAATAAATATGGTACCGTGAGGTTCATACCGTGATGATACCGTATCGTGAGACTTGGATATCGTTACACCCCTAGTATTAACCTGATGATGCAGATTTTTGTTATGCTTTTGAATTGTGCAGAGGAATCATATTGTTGAAATGCTGCTTTTCCACTGAAATTGCCCAAAGCATAAAACCAGTCTTTTTATCCCTAATAGCTACTCTCTCTACTACATTATGAAGCTACACAATTTGAAAGCATAAAACTATAATACATTATTTTGATTTGGTTCATGTTTTGAGAGCCTTTTTGTTTTTGTTTTTTGTTTTTTTGGTTTGAGCCCCATTTAGTTCTGATGAAGACTTGGTTTGGTCTTATTTTAGTCCTGTTTTACTTCTGGTTTAGTTCAAATTTTGTGTGAACTGTGAACACTTTTATACATTCAGTTTGTGATGTTAATAATATTTTGCCTTTTTACAGGAATCACCTTAGACATTTGGTTCAAAAGCACAGATCTACTTTTTCGCACACCTTATTCAGACTGGCTACAGAGCCTTTGTCAAATAGTCCTTCTGTTAGGTATTGTTTACAGGTAAGCAAATAAGTCAATTACAGCACAAAATCTTAAAAAAAAACAGCAGCTGATCTTTATGTAACTTAATTTTTTGTCGTTGATAGTTTTTACCTCTTCCACCCACTCTCCTATGGCATGACCGGTCCTCTGGCGCACGACCCAAAGAGTCGGATGGCTGGTCTGAAATGGATGGACTCATGGGAATTCTAGTTGGACATTTGACACGATACATTCAGTCTTAGGATTCATAGTTCTCGAAGTATTGCATTATTTAAACAGACTTTACTGTATTGCTACTTTGTTGTAGGGTTTACTTTTAATGATACTCCGTGCAATAGAAAACAATCATTTGGGAGAGTTTTTTTGGTACTGTATTCCATTAGTTTCCTTCAGTTTTAAAATAGTTATCTGAAGTGCCTCAAATATGAAATGAATATGAGGGATGTTTTGTGTGTTTTAAAGTGACAGAACAACTTAAAATATTAATCGTGTCTTAGTGCGGTGACGTGTTATCAGTGTTTTCAAGTGTTATTTTCTGTTTGGTTGTGTGTGGGTAAGTGGGGAGTGTAGCTGAAGTAATCATAATAAAAAGTATTCTTCTATTTTTTTGGATTTCTATCTGTTTTTTCCTTATTTGCTCGTTATAACATTAAGAGCAAGGCCTGAGGACGGAATATTGTAGAAATATCTGGATGGAAAAATAACCAATATTCTTTTCCGTGTTGTTGCTGCTGCCATCTAGTGGTAGTTATTATAAAACACACTCGTAGTGAGAAGCTCGGCTCTGATTGGTCATCTCTTGTCACGTGTTTATTGTGAAGATGGCGTCTCCAAATGGAGGTAAATTCTAATTCCTTACTCTGCTATGCTGTGGATAAAATGTTGTTTTAAGATTTCTAATGACATCGAGTGCACGGCAACAATCGGGTTTTGCTGATTTACCATCCGAGGTCCGACCGTAGCGCTTTGCTTTGACTAAACGTGGCTTTCCGGAGGCTAAAGGTTCCACTCGCCTGAATGTTTTGTCTCAACCAAGAGTCCGTCGAAGCACAGCACAGGGCAGCCTCACCCTCGTCCTAAACCATGTGTTTTATGTAGCCTTAATCTCGCCTAAAGAGAATGCCACAGGATTATTGCAGTGTTTTAGAAAAAAATGTTAATCGTGTTAATGTGGTTGATTGACAAGTTGCACAATAAAGTGATCGTTCACCAATAGCTCTCTGTTGTGGAGGCTGGAGACAAACGGGTAATGTTGTAATAACTGCGTAATGTGGCCTACGTGTTGTGACAGGACAGTTTGTTTATTTATTTTTACTGCACAGTTATCTCTGGCTAGTGGCTAAGACTACATCTGGTTTCTTTCACTTCCCTCTGGAGGTAGTTATACACGAATATCCAGGGCCTGGCTTACAGTAGGGCCCTGCAACACTAGTTACAGTAAATAAACGGGGCATTGTTCACTCTTAACTTCACACATTTACATGACATTAAAGCTGCACTGTGGAACTTTTCTACTGGAGTGTCCATCACCTGCTTGTTTCCATGGAGATGTACATTCTTGGCCTGGACTTTTCAATAGTATCACATTAATCTATTTTGCTTTTTTCAGTTATAACTGCTTTGCTATAAAGCAAAAAGAAAAGAGAATCTTGAAAAAAACATACATTCTCACTAATACTCCACAGATCTGACTTGTAACGTTGTGGAGTCACCTGCTTGCCTCTCAGAGTAATCATGCATGCCTCCCTGGAAATGGATAACATGTTTTCTGCTATATTGTCTGCCATTTCAGCCAAAAAATAAGATCTCCATGGAAACAAGGAGCCTTGCCAACAAGACAAATTCTCTCAATTTTTGTGGGTTTACACATTCAGGAGACACATCAGTCTGGTGAGAGCCATGTTAGGAAACAAGCAGGTGGCAGACCCTCCATCAGAAAAGTCACATAGTGCATCACTGCACCAGCTCATATTACAGTCCATGTCTTATCAAAATACATAGAATAAATTGACCAGAATTAACATGTGGCATATTTTAGGAAGGTCTCACAGCCATCTTTGTGTGTCTGTAGGTGAGGACTTTGAGAGCTCTCTGCTGAGTTTTGAGAAACTGGACAGAGCATCACCAGACCTATGGCCTGAACAATGTACGTAGCATACTTTTTTGTTTTTGTTGTTTTGTTATTAAATTTTTAACTTGTAATGGACATAATCTTTGTTGCAGTGCCTGGAGTTGTTGAATTTGCTGCTTCTTGTAAAAATGTAAGTTAGGTTTACTACAATTACTGGCATATTATTATATGACTACATTATATAATTGTTATATTTGATTGCTTTATTCCATAGTCTATTACTAATTCCCCACCTAAATGGATGGCTGAACTGGAAAATGAAGACATTGAGATGCTAAAAGGTAACTTGGCATGCATTATTTCTGAAAATTAACATGTTTGGTTAAATCCAGTCAATATATTTTACATATTCTATCCTCTCAATAACCCCTCTACTTGTGTGACTAGAACTGGGCAGTCTGACAACAGCTAATTTGATGGAGAAGGTCAAAGGACTACAGAATCTTGCCTACCAGCTGGGCTTAGAAGAATGTAAGTATGCAATTTGAGCATTCAGAAGAACACACATTTTTAGTCTCATAACATACCTTAACCAAGTTTCGACGGTTTGAATACAATTTCTTAATCTACAAGAGATACATTATCATATGGATATAGGTCGACCACAAATGTAGTAAACCATAGCTACCACTAGATGGAGCTCATGCTTGAGGCTTGTAAAAATGCTATCCTGTTCTTGAGTGTGCTGCAGTTGAGGGCCTATTGTATTGTTTAATTTATGAAAGTAAGAAATTACCTTGTATTAGTAAACCCCTCATATTTTATTGGCTTTAAAATAAGTGTTGAAGTGTTGAAAATCTTGCTGAACTTCAAAATGTGAAACCAGGACAGGCATGCCTAAACAAGAGCTCAAGCATTTGATGGATGCCAAATCTCGTTTTTAATCCATTCCCCACTGCCTCCATTGTCATAATCCTGCTGGAGTGTGGATTAGCGAGGTGCAGCTAAGTGCTCTGATTTCCCTAAGAGTAAAAATGGGGATGTAGTTTTCCAGAGTTGTTGAATTGTCCTACTTCTATTGCTCGAATAATGTATAAATAAATGTAACCCTTTTGTTTTGACTGACTGTATAAATGTGTAAAAGGTGAATGAATTGTTCTATTGATGCTCTTTTGCCCTTCTTGTCTGATAAACAGGAAGATTTAATGTATTACATAAGATAATTGAGTTACTGACTAATCTGTGAATATTGCTTATCCAGCAAAATGTAGTAATCTGTAGATGGAGAGTTCTCTGCAGGTTCTAGGCAGGTATGAACAATGCAGTTACTTGAGCATGCTTTAATACAATTTTTTATTCAGAAAATTACCTTTATTGCGACAATGAGCCAAGGGGAAAAATAATGCTGTATTATGTTTGCTAAACTGGCCTTTTATGGTGGCAGTTATCAACAGCTGTGGTGTTTAACCTAATTTAAATGGATTCGCTCTGAGAGAAAGTCCTTGCAAATTTGCATGCATAAAAATCTAATTTGAGTAACTCTTTCCATTAACAATGCTAAGGTGCTCAAAAAATCTCAAAAGACAGAATAATGTAGTAGGGAAAAACAGGGTTTTTAAGATCATGTCATTGTCATCTCAGCTACTTTTTCATCATGTTTTGTATCAAAATCTGTACCAAGTATCAAGCCATTGCCCTGGTATTGAAATCAAGCTTGAAAAGTTTCATATAATCAACTGTGCATTTAATTTTGAAAAACTTTGAGGCTGTATCATAAAACTAGTTCACACCAGCCTTTTTGCATACTCATATAGATTTGATTTGGTTTCATTCTAGTCCTGGTTAAATCCTGGCCTAGTCTAGGTATAGATCTGGGTTTAGTTCCAGTTTAATCCCAGTTTTCTTAAGGTGATGGTGCAAGTGTGACCGCTTAGTGGATATCATTACCTTTCTTTTTCCATCTAGTCTTTTACCTTGGAGTTAAACACATATCTACCTTACCTTTCATTCTCCCTTTACTCCGTGTCATCTGGAGGCATGCTGTCATATAGCTGTAGCACAGTAGCTTGGCAGTCCGGTCATGTCCCCTCCGCGGCAGGACACAATGACGGTTATTATAGGTGCTGGAGGAGCTGTGTAATGGGTGCCTGTTTAATGCTCTCCGCTTTAATTTTCCCTCTTTTCGCGGCTGTCAGGGGAGGCCTTGTAAATCTCAGCTACTTTTTCATCATGTTTGTGCACTCTTCTCTGGGCACCATAAACGGGCCCTGCGGAGGTGCGACTCGGGGGGCAGGGGATATGAACGCTTACGATTTACTGCCCCTCCCCCCTCCGGCATGTGGGCCATTAAAGAGCAGGCCGCTTAATGGGCACGCCACAATCAAGCAGTGAAAAGTCATCCCTCCACTACTGCTGTTACAACATGAGACCTGCTACACCGCCATCAAAGATCCAGTGGGGAAATTTCATTTTCTTGGCTGTATGACATGTGCCCATAGTACATGTCATTTGGTTTTGCTGGGTTTCAGTTGTTGACATCACAACATTATATAGGCCAGTAATATTTAATATAGATGGGGGCAGATAAAGTGAATCTTGTTAAAATGCTCATTTTTGTTGTGATACAGTGAGTTTCTGAGTGTGGTCATTAATAGAAATCATCAGGTTCAACATGGGCTTTTACCTTTTGGATATTTCAAGTACAATGTCACCAATAGGAACAAAACCCACCTGACAGTACGAAATCATCACATTCCTGAATCTGAAAACTACCAATTCCTGTATCAGTATGTTGCATTCATGGGACATTAAGGCTTTTTAGAGTCACTATACTTTAAGATTGAGCTGGAGGGCAGATTTCTATGGTGGAATTTACTCTTTTCACTGCCAGGTTGCAGATTTGTTGACCTGGTTTATGGTTAATATCTCTATAATGGCTGGGCCTATCAACATGAAAAAAAAACTGGCACAAAGTTCAACATCTTTTCTGTCAGTATAAATAAACTTGAAAGTATTTTTTTCACAATAGGTTCAGTGGCAGTGGTGCCATTATTCTATCACACGGTTGAAAGCCACTGATTTTTACTGTCTTAAAAATGTGAAAAACAGAACTAGTTAATGTTAGGTTTGCAGTCCAAAGTTTTCTATATGCATTCCAAACAGCCTAATTATCCAACGTGATTATTTTATGAGAACTTTTCACAACTCTCAAAGACCAGATCAGCTTTTTGCTGTCAAAGTGAAGCTGACAATAACTGAGGCCCATCTTCTGATTATCTGGCAATAAAATGTTTGGATGCAATGAATTTTGCTCAAATACATGAGAAAAATAGGATACAGGGCCTTTAATCATCAAGTTTGTGGATTCAATCTCAAACAAATAATAAGATTCAACATTTTAGGTTTCGATATTTTTTTCTGTTTCAATTTCTTGAACATTTTTTTTTACCTATGATTAAAAACTGATTTTGTTCAATTGATTCAATTTGATTTGTGATTTATGTTTTTCAATCTGGTTTAATTTCACTTGAGAGAAAAATGAAAGAGTATGTGCAACTAAGCTAATGCAAAAGGGTTAGGGCTATATAAGAAAATTATGTCACCAAATAATTATCAGTAAGATTATTCAAATTACAATTTCAGTTCAATTGCAACAGCCTTGTTTGGACCCAATCATCATTGTTAGTGACAAGATTCATCAATACAATACATCAATATCCATTCACAAGTTCTGTAAATTGAATCTCAATCAATAAGAGATAATGAATTTAATGTGTTTCCTGATACCTTACAATATTATATTTATCAGAAAAATCACAATCACGTATTTGTACAAAATGATTCAACAGCATGCAACAAACCCACTGGATTAACCATCGTCATTTCCTTTGCTCCCCTTTCTCAATTAAACCTTATAGCCCTGTAAAATGTTGTCATGTCATCTAAACCTCAGCACTAGCACTGATCTTCTGTGATGATGGCTGTGTGACGCTGGCCTGTTGTAGTCCCCCTGGGGGCCCGACGCGTGCCTCTTCGCGGGGCCCCAGCTGTTCCCCCGTCCCGTGATGAATGCCCCTGTCGCGGGCCGCTGGGCTGGGGCATCAAGCCTCCAGTCCCAGAGGAGCGGGGCGAGCTGATAAGTGCTGTTATTGAAGGTAATTGAAAGCTGAGTGTTCCTGTGGGATGCTCTGAGGGCCCCTGCCGCTGGTAACGTGTTGATTGTGCTCCATCACACGTGAGGACTCAAGGCTAGGGGCCCATATTTAACACTTGCACTGAGATGACATGTTAGTAATTAGGAGAGGTGCTGACGTGGCGACTGCACCACTCTTATGTGTCCAGTGGATACGTCAAAGTCATTGTGGTGTTAGCTTTGTTACTCTCCTTCTGGTCTTCAAATTGATTTTCTTGCTAATTATGTGTTGAGGCGTTATTTGGTTGATTAAATTAGGACAGATCTTTAGCAAAAATATGAATCATTGTATTTTTTCTGTTTTTGTACATGCATAATCATCGTTTGCTTGTGTGCCAAAGTGAAAGGGTTTTGTCCATATTAAGTGATTGGTTTTGTCATGCAAGACCAGCGTAGTTATGCAATGGATTATTTATCATAAATCCAATTTTTATACGGTTTGGATTAGGGTTGTCAAAAGTATCGAAAATCGGATACTAATCAATACGAAAACTAGTAGTGAACAAGATACTCATTTGATCAGGTATCAAAACCAAATCACATTCACAGGACGGAAATGAACCTTTCCTGAATGATCTTGAGCTGTATCAGAAAAAGTATAAGAGCACATAGACTTATACGCCCATGGATCACTATGGGACTGATGAATTACACAGATAAAAGGCTACACGGTAATATAAAAATAAAAGTTCATGTTGAAAATTGCATTCTGTTGTCTGTATTAAGAATGTTTTTATTATCATCATGGTATTGTCTATGTCTTAGTTTCAGTAATGTCAATAGAGTTTGAAATGTTAGTATCGTGACAACACTAGTCTGGATACATTTTCAGCAATTTTAGTCTTATTTTCTGTACTAAATGTGAGTAGCTCTTCCATAGCTTGTCAACTTATTTGGACATGGTGAGATTATCTTGTAATGCAAGTATTTACTTTCTCTGATGTGCCCATTTAGATGTGTCAGATGTGTCAGGAGGTGGATGCAGTGTCCATGGTATTACACAAAGTGAATCCTCAATATTCTAGTGTTGAGTTGTTTAGTACTATTTATGTTTTTTGCTCATGTAGTAACTGGGCTGATCTGTGTCTATAGTCTGTATTAAAGCTGGGAATTGCAGGGTTGCTCACGATTCGTTGCAATACACCAGTGTTTGAAAGAGGATCCCATTGTCCATCCCTGAGTCAAATTTCATGGGGTTTGGTCAATAATTAACCGAGATATTGAGAAACAAAATTTTTGGCCCCATTTACCACAATGTTAACTAAAATTTCGAAGTGATCCAGAATCCAGGATTTCTTCCGGATCACCCCCAAAATGAAATCAGTTCTTCCTTTTCACA